TTCATGTTATTAGCATATGAATATAAATTATGCATTCTGAATATTTAACATGATCATTGTAATCATTTAAAACACCCAAATCAACCTACACAACTTTGGAATATCACAATTATCAAAACAGTACCCAAAAACCCTAACTATGTAGTGTTCTAGCAAGGGAGCATGCTCCCCTTTTAAGGGAGCAAGCTCCCTCCAAGAAGGAGCATGCTCTCGACTTGAGAGAGCATGCTCTCGGTCTGAGGGAGCCGGCTCCATTCTCCATGGAACCGGCTCTCTCCCTGAGAGCCGTCCGAAATTTGCAGAGAAAGCCGGTTCTCGACTTACTTTTCTTCATCTTCTTCATCTTCAGTGACCTTCAGACACTCCAATTGCCTTCGTTAAGGTTCCTGAACTTCTGTTTTAGGTCCCAAATGATCCCAATTAATTTTATAAAGTCCATATGTATCTTTAACACGAATTAAAACAAGATTAAATGTAAGAAAATACAAGATCAAACAATTAACAATTAATCAATATACTTACTATTTTTAATCTGTTTAAGCATGCATATATAGTTAATTTATTGTCTAATTAATCATGGAATTAACCTAGACATGTATAGAACACGAATTTAAGGGAAATAGTAGAAGAAGAACTTGCTTTAAGGTTTCGGATTGAAACATTCTCTCATTCTTCCTAGCTCTTCCGGCGACCTCTTGGCTGTCTTCTCAGCCCTCAGTTGCTCCTGGTTCAACCCACAAGTAAGCCCCTTCCTTCCTTCCTTGATTCAGCCCTTGTTCTTGGCCAAACTCCATCTCTCTCTCTCTAGCCCCTTTCCATGTCTGCGTATACCTTATACAGATATATAACTTATATATAGATAGATTACTAATATCCTATTCCAACCCCAATTCTATTACCATAATGAGTAATAAAAGAAAAGGAAAATTAAAACATTAATACTCATATAAGTCCTCTGTTAACTAACGTGATATAGTTATATATATATATATATATATATATATATATATATATATATATATCACGTTAGTTAACAGAGGACTCACGTTAGTTAACAGAGGACTTATATATATATATATATAAAACTTATAATTATATATATAATACTAACTATGTAAACTATTATTACTAACTATAATTAATAATAATAATTCTTATAATAACATTATATACATATATACCCATATATATATATGTACAACTATTCATGGGTAATTATCCATACCCATTCGGATTTCTATCTAAATAGTCCATGAGACCCAAATAGTTGGTCCATTACTACTATCCAAATCCATAAAAATAAAATAAAATAAACCTTTAAATCATTTAATCTAATAATTAATTACAATTAAACAAACACATCATTTAAGCAAGCACATCAGTTAACAATTTAATTAAAATAAATCATTTAAGCACAAAACTTACATTTAAATAATTAATTCAATTACACACATAAACAAATAGCCAAATAATCAAATAAATAATTAAAAATACAATAAAAATAATTTAATAAATTTTGAGACTATCTTTTTAAAAAATTAGGGAAATTACAAGTGAAACTTAGTCGATATTGTCCTCCTACCACTCACCTCCTTTTGGAGAGATTCCCTTATTTTTTGTAAGTCTACTATCATTGAAGCCAAAAACGTGAAGCATGTGTTACATCATTATGAACTTTATCAGGCCAATTAATCAAATTTTACATATCTGGTGTCTTCTTTAGCTCCAACACCCTTCGTCGCAGGAAAATTCAGTGTATACTTCAAATTCGAGAACAAGATTGGAGTAACAAATACCTGGGCCTACCTGCCATCATCCAAATTCTTAGAAGATAAAATTAGCTCAGAAATCAAGCTCATCAAAGGGCCATTACTCTATAAGGCCGGTCGGTAAGTTCTTCTAAAGTCTATTCATAGATCGCTTCCTTCTTATTCCATGTCATGCTACAAACTCCCGATTAAAACATGTGATGATCTTGCCCAAAATATTATGTGCTTCTGGTGGTCTAGAACTAAAGATGTTACTTACTCACCCTGGATTAGTTGGGACACTCTCTGAGGAAGGGATGGGGTTTAAAAACCTTCCTTTTTTCAACATGGCTCTCCTATCCAAGCTTGCTTGGCATCTTTACCAAGGAGACAACTCTCTTCTCTTCACAATCCTTAAAGCTAAATACTTTCACAATATCCTTGTAAAACTACTGCCTCTTAGATATGGCGCGGCATTCATCCCTCTATCCCAATAATCCTTAAAAATAAACAGTTGTATGTCTCTAATGGTTCTCGGATTGATTGCTGGAGGGATCCATGGCTTCCAGATCCTCTTAATCATTTTGTTTCCACCACTTGCCCCAACTAATGCACCATCTCCTCTGTTACTGACCTAACTATCCCCAGTCCTACTGGATGGAACATTCCCCTTATTAAAAGGATTTTTAATCACCGAGACGTGCACCTCATCCTTCAAATCCCTCTTTGAGAAGAAGGTGGTTAATACACTGTTATTTGGGGTGCTTCCTATTCAGGTCTCTTCACGATCCGCATTGGCTATCATGTTACTCTCTCCCTGAAACCACCTCTCAACCTTTCCCCTCCATTGATTGGCAGCAGCAATGCTCACCTTCATATCCCAAAGTGGCCTGAGATTTGGAAGCTTAAGACTACCCATAAAATTTAATTTTTCATCTGGTAATGTGCCCAAGACGGCCTCCTAATTCTACAACTCCTCAAAATCATTCGAGTTGTCACCTGCAACATTTGCTCCGTTTCTGGTTTTGAAGAATAATCCACTATTCACATGCTCTTCAGATGTCCTTCCTCTCTAATTGCGTGGCGTTTATGTCCTTCGAGGTTGGATTTTCATACCATCCCCTGTATCTCTTGGGCCCAGATATGGAGTTTTCGCTCCTCTTTGTGGCATTCTCACTCTGACTCTGACCTCTACAAAAGTTTCTTTACCTTCCTCTGCTGGCAGCTCTGGAAGAGTCGGAATGAGTGGCATTTTAATCACAAGCGATGTGATTTCCATCCTGAACCCTTCCCTTGCTAGTCCTCCTCCTCCTCACCTCAATTGTTGATCTCCACCTATTTCGGTTAGTTATTTCAGCCTGCCTAGAGAAAAAGTTGGAGAAGCTCAAGTCAAAATGGTACGAGAATCTGCCTTAGGTACTGTGGGCATATCGAACCACCCCCACCATTACAGATGTAGATTAATTCAAGAAGGTCTTTACAACAATAAGAATAAGTTGGACAACTTTGAAATCCAATATAATGCCTCAGAACCACAATCTGCAACACTTAAGGTTTGAGGGGTAAAATTGGAAATTTCTCTCGAGATCAATTCACCAATACCGTACACAGTCTTCTTTCACTGTTGTACTTATGTTCATAGCTTTGCATAATCAAACACAGCATGAGTATCTCATAAAGTTCAGTCATGGTCCTTGTTTCAACACAAAATAGCTTCAGCACAAAATAGCTTCGGCACAGAATAGCTTCAGCACAAAATAGCTTCGGCACAGATTAGCTTCAGCATAGAATAGTCTCAGCACAAAATAGTTCCAGCACAAAATAGTTTCAGCACAGAATAGCTTGGACTGTGCTCTCTTTTGCTATAATGAGTTCTGTGAGGCACAATTTAAAGATTCCATCCTGAACCCTTCCCTTGCTAGTCCTCCTCCTCCTCACCTCAATTGTTGGTCTCCACCTATTTTGGGCAGATTTAAACTCAATGTCGATGCCGCCGTTCCCGTAAATCTTGATGGTATGGGCAGTGGATTCGTTCTTAGAGATCATCATAGATTCGCTATTCAAGGTGCCACCTCTTTTCTTGAAGGTTCTCATTCACCGGAATTAGCAAAAGCCCGAATGATTAGGACTGTATTCGTTTTATCTCCCAATGGTGCTACAGAGATGTGGATATAGAATCTGATTGCCTCAACACTGTAACTTTTTCCCCAACTTGTGAAGCTTCTTCAGTCATCCTTGAAGACATCAAGTTTATTTTGAAGGCCCATCCAAATTATATTCTCACTTGGCCCCTAGATCCTCTAACAAGCCAGCCCATCTTCTCAGCAAATGGGCTTTGAGGAATCTGGCTTCTGATCTTACGTGGGAATGTTGGCCCTCTTGGCTTTTTTCGGCCCTTAATTCTAATGCGTCTTTTCCTTTGCCTTAGGTTTTCTTTTGCTTCCTTTCTTTTTTGTGAGGAAAAAAAAAAAAAACCTTATTATTATAGTAATATGTTGTTCAAACTTCAGTTAATAGTAATGCTAAAATTAGTATTTCTAAGTAATTTTTTCTTTTATTCAAATAATCTGATGTAGTGCCACAGAGAACCTATATGGACAGTCCGGTCAAAATAATGGGTCAAGCTTACAATATCAAAATTCAAGCTTAGTTGTAATTGAAAGTGACCTCTTATGTTTTGCGTTTCGAACTCATACCTTGATTTTTTTTTCACTTTATGTGATTTAGATTTTGTCGGTCTTAAGTTCCTATTATGGATGTCAATTTAACCCATCTTGTTGGGGTCCCTCCCCATCCCACGCCCTTTTCAAATGAGATTGGAATCATCCTACTTAGGTTACAAACGGATATAAGAATAAATTTTAAAACTTGATTAATAATTTATATATAAATAAATATTATTTTATTAACTATAAATCTTTTCTTCATTTTTTATAATAATTTTAAATTTTAATAATATTTTTATTATTATGAGTGTTAAATATTTGACCATATTATAAAAAAAATTTTAAAATTTACTTAAAGTTGTATTTTTTTTTTTTTTTCTCAGAAAAATATATATCAGGGCGCCCCAAATCGAATTTGGGAAAAAAAATTTGTTGGTAGGGCGGATTTGGGAAAATGATGCTCCGTTCCAAATCAGCTTTTGTGCATATTGCGATTCTTGTAATACATATGACCTACACGTGTCCGTGTTTAGTTGGCAAATTTTCCTTCTTATATTCACTGTTTTCAATTTTAAATAATCGGCATTTTTATTTTCCCGGAAATTAATAATTGGCATTTACGTAACAGAAAAAGTAGAAACCTGCGAAGCGATCACACAGGAGAGAAAGAGAGAGAGAGTCCTGCAGGTTTATGGTTTGAGGACTCTGCGATCTATTCCCATTTTGTTAATTTCTGGTTGTTTTAGTCCAATTCAAATTTTTTGATCGGATTGATACGCACGTGAGTGTCGCCGGAATTCTTTGTGATCTCGCCGGAACACTTCACCGGTCGTCATATTCCGACCGTTCTAGGGTTAAATTTGAAGCAAATATGGTGAATTCTTTGGTCGAACGAGCCACGAGTTCCATGCTCATCGGTCCAGATTGGGCTATGAACGTCGAGATCTGTGACATGTGCAATCGCGATCCTGCGTGCGTTTTCCGATCTCTTTGCGTTTATTATTTTTATCAATTTGAATTGCTCTCTTTTTGGATTGTGATTTGTTACATACAAAATTAGAACCGTATTTACATTTTTAGAAATGATATTTCAATTTCCTGTGATTCCATGTATTTTTGGGTTTTGAATTATGTTCAGGTGATAGGATTTGGTTTGAAAATTTTTATTTTCCGCTAATATGATATGATTTTGGATTTTTCAGTATGAATTTTTGGTTTTAGCATTCTTGATTCTTGATCATTTGTAAATGTCAGATTGTTGGTGCAACAAAGATTATTTTTAATGTGTTATGCAGAGGTGTTTAGATATAAGGACTTGGTGAATAGAGTAACAATATTTTCATTATGGAATAAAAAAGTTTTTAGTTCATTCTAAATTGGATGAAGTTAATGGGGCTACCTATGTAACTATCGAGTTTAAGATTGTATTAGGAATATGCTACCAGTAAAGAAACAAAGAGGTTCATTGGAAAGTAATGTTTTGGGGTGAAGGGTAGTGGTTTTGAGTAATGATTCTTTAAGTATGTTCGAGTATGATTAGGTGGTGAGACTTTATGCTTTATTTCCTTCTACTTTTTTGGGGCGATGAAGGTTCTCACGAAAAAGATTCCAAACCTGTTATAGATTTTGAAAGCTTATTTTTACCTATTAGGAATTGGTTTTTTGCTTCAACTTTGCACATGTTAATTAGAGAGGGCTGACATGTTCCACAAATGATTAACATTGACATAGTTATGGTGCTAGGTTGGACAAACTAAGCCCTGGAGAGGCTGACAAATTATGAAAATAAAAATTCAAAATAATTTTGAATTAGTGCTTGGTGATGGTTTACCAGTATTGCTTCTTGTTCTGTGAAGCATGAGGGTACTAGAATGATTCATTTAAGTTTCTTATCAGGTAAGTTATTGTAGTAGTAATATATGCAAATAAAAAATGATAGAATTAAAGGGAGAGAGAGAGAAAAAAAATGGCTCAAAGTGGTTTTCCCGGGCTCCGATCATAAAAGAACCATAGAATTAGAAATGGGGAGATATGACAGACAAGAATTTAGAAGGAAAAAAAGAGGAGATAGAAGAGGAGAAACAAGAAGTGAGTGAGAGAGAGAGAGAGAGAGAGAGTCAGAAAATGGCACATAGTGGTTTTTGCGGCCTCCGAATCATAAAAGAATATAGAATTAGAAATTTGGAGAGATGCTAGATGAGAATTTAGAAGGGGGAAGAAAGAAAGAGAGAGGATATAAGAGGAGAAACAAGAAGTGAAAGATCCTTTGTAAATGTGTTCTTTAATTTTAATTTAACTCAACAACATTAGCCCCATTTTATATAAGGCCTACTTTTTGGGTTTGTAAGACGCTAAAAGTACATGGAGATTTACTTGGTATTGTAACTCATTGGTTCTTCAAAATCAACCTTTGAAATCATTACATCCTGTAGGAATAAATAAAATTACCTTAGGATATATAAAAATTTCCTGATATCATATAAACCGCTAAACTAGTAAATTTGTTGTGCCACATTTTTGTGGTCTCATGGCAACTAGGATGCATCAATCCTATTTAGTTGAAGAAAACTAGGCATTTTTTTATTTTTTATTTTTTTGTATAAGAATAAGAAACTACACAGATATTTTTGGAATCTACTAAACTTCATGAAATTCTACATTTCTCAATATGATTCATGACTTGGAGGACTAGGAGAGTGGTATTTCTTGCCACCCACAAAGGGGCAGCTCTTTTTCTTTTATTATTATCTTTTTTTCAGGGTTCAGTCTCGGTTGGGACATGGCCCATGGGTGCTTGAGTATTCCTTATCCATAGTAAATAATAATAATAATAATAATAAAACTATGTCTCAAAGTTGTCTTTTTTTTTTTTTAATTCTTCGAATAATTTTTTCTTGAGCCGTACGAGGTTTTTATATTAGTTCTTTAATCTTTGACTTTGTTATCTCAGTGCAAGTTGATTGTACTTGCCTTTGTGTTGATTGTCTTTTCAAATTGAATTTAGTAGTTAGTATTATATATATATATATATATATCTATGTTCTTATCAACAAGTTTTACCGTGCTAGACATACTCTTGTCATTTTTAGGCCATTTTTGATTGCTCTTTTGTGATGTACCCCTAAAGTTTAGTGGATTAGTGAACATTAAACACTCAGCTGTCATTTCTAAATGCATTTCTGCTGCACTTGCCTATTTTCTCACTTGGATATTTCAGCTACACTTGCCTATTTTGTCCCTTGGATATTTCAGTTATGGCTCAATTCTTAAATTAGCTGCCATCCACCCCGCCCCACACACACATTCCAGCTTTTTTGACCCAGAGAGCAGCTGATTGGTGGGTTTTACCTTATATCATATTCTTCAAGGCACCAGATTTAGACCTGTGTAGTTTATGCTTTCCCTACTTGGTATAACCCCTGAAATGAGCTGATGATGGGTTTTGCCTTCTATTGTATGGCGTTGCTGCTGTATTTGATAAGGATGAATGAGACAAATTCTCGTTTTCATTCTCAGTGATTAGGGAATTTGTTTCCTACCATTTCTATGCGTTTTACTGTTGGTACTCACTCTGCATTGTTCTATATCACTGGTATAGGAATTTTGATGTGTATTAGTTGATTATTAATTCTTAAAACATATTTTGAGATAGTTTTCATTTGATGCATATCACTGATTTGGGTTTGGTTCACCAGTCAATCAAAGGATGTTGTGAAAGGCATAAAAAGGCGCCTTGGAAGCAAGAATCCAAAAGTTCAACTTCTCGCTTTGACTGTAAGCTCCAAAAACACTAAATACCCTTTTTCGATGTACAAATTGTGTTTTTCTATTTTCATTATTCACTGGCGTTCCCTTATTTGATATGTGAATTGTATTTGATCGTTACATTTATCTTTTAAAATCAAATATTTTGTTTTGACTAAAATTGTCCCCACCATTTTTTAAACCAGAAAGTGTTATCCCCTATTATTTTGTCCATGTGTGTTTGTGTTGTAAAGCTTATTCAACAGTTTGTTGCATTTTGTTTGCACCCATTGACCACTCCTGATTTCTGCTGCTGAAGGTCAAACGTTAATATTATCTGGTGATGGTAGCATCTTGTTGAGGATTATCCACATTCTTGTAGGAACTGTATTTTTTTTTTCTTCTTTTTTCTAGTAAAATTTTGCAAGCTTCTATTACCTGTTTGTGTTAGATTGACTTATTTGCTTGGGGAAATTATTATTAATTTAATGTGATGGGTCATTACACTGCTAGACACAAGGAAAAAGGTTGTTTAATGCCAGGGTGAAAAAAAAAAAAAAAAAAAAAAAAAAAAAAAAAAAAAAACCTAAACTAATTTTGAGTTGTAGATAGGTCCCTAGTATTACAAATAACCCAACATGGTATTAGCCTACCGCTAACATTATCGTAACAATGTCAAAAAAACATTAATGTAAAATGACTACTTTGCCATTACTCAGCAAAAAAAAAAAAAAAAAACGCGAATATTCTTTCAATCTGTACCTCTCTTCGCCTTGAAGTTCTTCTCCCCTCCAATTTTCCTCTTTCATCCACCACCTCCTCACAAAACTCTTGTCTTTATCTCTCTTCAACTATCCCACTGAAACCCTAAATTCTTTCACAATCCTCAATTCTCTCTCTAGCTCCCCAATTGCTACTGAATTGGCAAGTTACTGTCCCGAAGTTCACATACTACCGGTGTGAAGTTCACATCCCGCCATCTCTGTTTCTCTCCCTATATATATATATATGTAAATATAATTGAAATTAAATCTAGCCTCATTCAGAGGTAACAATTTTTTGCCTCAGTGGCTCCCGTGTCACCTTCATAAACATCGACTATCTTCACTGTTGTTTGCTCCGCCACACCAACACCCACTCTTGTTTTGCTGTACATCTATGCTGACAATTATAACGACAAGATCATCCTTGTTGTTTATGGGCTCAATTTGGTGAAAGAGAGCGATTGCGAGCTTCTGCTAGACAACTGGTTGGTTATGTAGATTTAGACAGCAAGTACGTCCATAACAAGCTCTGAAGTTGGCGATTTAGCTGTTGAATCAAGAATTGAAGAGTCTCGAGCAATTGCTGGTTGAAAACGGCTCATCATATAAGATGGTGTTTGTGGGATACACATTGAGCTTGTACCCATGATTCACCACCATCATCATTAACAAGGTGAAAACATGGGATTCTGATGAGTGATTTGCGGTGTTATGCGATCGATCTGGCTAGGTGTTTTTAGAGGACATATTTGATGCTCTGGAAGCCGTTCAAAGAGTGATGCTAATTGATACAGTTACTTAATTTAAGGCTACTTAATGTATACAATGGAAGAATGCATCACAATGTATGTTTAAAAAATAGATATTAGATTTTTAAATGTAAAGAAGTGAAGAACATAGGAAGTACATATTTCTAATTAGTAAGTCAGGTGACTGTTACGTGATGAAATAACCTTTATTTTTTAGGCGGCATCTTGATGGAAGGATGTCATCTGCAAAAAGCGTGGTAGTACATGGTTATTTTTTTTTGGGCAAAATTAGTATTTCAATTTGGGTTATAGTTTGGGGCATGTTTGCATATTCCATGAGTAAAAGTTGTGTTACGGTCTAGACTAGATAATGAGCCTTTTATATTCAAAAACTATACTCGATAAGCTTTCCAGTGAATTATATGTCTAAATTCAAGTCCGCTTGACCCCTCAATGAAGTGTCCGAAGTCTGGCTATGTGCAGTAAGGCGGTGCAGAAAAGGTGGATTGATAAAACCTGAATGTCAGTCGATCAAAGTTACTATAGAATAGCTCGATCGAGAGGTTGATGGATTGAGAAAACCCAGAAAGTGTCGATCGATCAAACTGATGCCCAAAGTCAGTAAAAGACGTGTTTCCAAGTCCGAATAGGTTTTTAAAGATATTCCTTATCAATTTCAAATCAGTCCAACACGATAAAAGGTGTTCTAGAGTTCTCTAAGGCTTTGTTTGGATAAACAGGAGGGAAAAGAAAAGAAAAGAAAGGATAACATTAGTTATGAGAGAAAAGAAAAGAGAAGATAGCAATAACCTGTATTTATGTTTGGATAAATTATGAAGGAAAAAAAAGGAAAGGATAACATTCTTGTGTGGAGAAGGTAAAGGAGAAAAAATAAAAGAAATTATTTTAACCAATTTACTTTCATACCCTTTTAGAAAAGGTAAAAAAGAGAGAGCAATAAATCAGTGTTGAAAGTGCACATACTAAAAGAACCAGTCGGTAAAAATAAAATAGAATAAAAGAAAGAAAGAAACTTCATAACATGCTAACTACCTTTAATTCCAAACATGAAGAAACAAACCAATAGCAAAACTGCAAGTCAAGCTTCCTCAATTCTCGTTGAGAGACACTTTAATGTGAACTAAGGAAGCCAAACTTTCTGGTTGATTGAGTTGTCCAATCATGGAGAATCAATTTGACATAAAGTAAAAAAGTTAAATAAACAATATCTTCATGTTGTTCGTAGCTGATACCATTCTTAAATATCTTCCTTTAACATTATGTTCAACAATGCTCACATAGTGCTAACTGAAGAAATTAAAGAACTGTCAAAAGTTGGGGAACATAACTACTCAAAAAATCCAGGATGCCTTCGAAATGTGACATAGGACAATAGTTCTTCCTGAATATATATATATATATATATATATATATATATATATATATAAAACAAAGTCTACCCAACATTTGTATGTGACGTTTGATAGTTTGAAACATGGCATTTACTTGTTTATTGTACAACTAAAATATATTTTGAACTTTCTGTGCATGCAATTAAAAATAATTAATTTTTAAGACTCTTAGACAATAATTCAGGGAAAACCCACAGTCAAATTTGATACCATAGGCATAACATAACATATTTTAAAATATGTTATATTTTAAAACGGGAAGAACAATGATATGCCCCAATATTAAGATGGGACCTAAATGTCTTTTAAATTTTCTTCTTTAAAATGTTAAGGTTATTTTCGGTTTTCTGAAAATTTTATTATCCTTTCTCTCCAAATCTTCCCACTTTTGGAAGGATACCGAAGGAGAGATTTGGAGGGTTAAGCTATACCTCCAAATCTGTCCTTATCCTTTCTTTTCTCTCTTCAATGGAAAATCAAACAAGAAAATCACCATCCCTCCTTTTCTTTTATTTTATTTTCTTTTCTTTTTCTTCCAATTCCATCAATCCAAACAAAGCCTAAACATAAGAATAACATGAGACAATTACATAAGTGTAAGAAAGATTGAGAGCTTTATTTTAGTCACGAGTGAGGTTTTCAATAGAATACCCTATATTGTTGTGTGATTGAGTTCTAAAGCAAGGAGTTTCACTGAATACTTGAAAATTGATCATTCACAACATCTGCACATCAAAGGCTTGGACGACTAGTGGCTGAGACCGGAATCACTGGATACTTAAAATTGATCAGCCACAACATCTACAAGTCAAAAGATTGGATGGGTGGTGGATGAGACCGAAATCATTGGAGAAACAGATTCATGAGGGGCGGATTCTGTTTACTAGTGGAGGGACAAACTGGAGACTCAGGAGAAAGATTGGTGTCATCTGTGTCGGGAGGTAATTAGGATATTCTTGGGGTAAAGTCTGTTAACCTAGTTGTAAACCTTTTTTCCCTCGTATAGTGGATTTTGGTTGCCTGGACTTGGGTCCTGCGGTTTTCACCCGTTGGAGTTTTTCACGTAAATATTGTGTGTTCTTGTGTAGTTGCATGATTTGTTTATTTCTGTTCTCTATACTTAATTGAAAATTGCTGCGTTCCAAATTACAATTGTGATAATTTAAAAATCAGTTATTGTTAGTTAAAATGAGACGATATCTATTTATCCCCTCTCTAGATCTGTTTTCGGCGTTGTGCTAACTCTTGTACCAGAGCTTTGGGTAACAGTCTTACAGTTTATCACTCCCTTAGGTTTGTGCTGTCTACTGTTAGTTGACTGTTCTGCCCATTGAAGAATTAATTCTTAAATCCCAAAAATACCCTATATGTAGCAGTATGTAGCAGTTTGCACTATCTACAATTGTTGTTGATCAGTGATACAACATCAATGGTGTTTCTACCACTTCTTTCCTCTCTTCCCTCTCTCTAGAAAACCCATAAATCTTTCTATTCACCACTCGTCTCAATCTCACACACTAACATTGCCATACCAGAGCATATATGATATTACAAAGAGAATCAATTCTGTTTTTTTTGGATATATGATTCTCTTTTGGATATTTCCTCTTTAGCTACAGTCCTTGGATGCAGAGTGAGCTCATTCCCTATTCCTTATTTGGGTTTGCCCCTAGGGGTCTCTTCTAGTTTAGTGGGGAGTTGGGATTCTGTGATTGACAGGTACGCGAAGAGATTAGCAGGTTGGAAGAAGCAATACTTGTCAAAAGGGGGTAAAGTTACTCTTATAAAGAGCACCTTGTCGAGCCTTCCCACTTATTTTCTCTCTATGTTCCAAATCCCTTGTTCCATTGCAGACAGGATTGAAAAAATTCAAAGGGATTTCCTTTGGGGTGGTAAGGGCGATGAGTTCAAGTACCACCTTGTCAGATGGGAGGATGTTTGTAAACCTGTGAAATTGGGTGGACTTGGTATAAGGCGTTTAGCTTCTTTCAATCAAGCTCTCTTAGGTAAGTGGTTATGGAGATTTGGGAGGGAAAGACATCGACCATGGCGCAAGCTAGTCTCTTGTCGGTTTGGCGAAGAGGCTGGACGTTGGTCTACGCGTCCGGTTACCCTAGTGGGAGGAGTAGGGATGTGGAAGGCTATTCAGAAAGGATGGGATGTTTTTTCGGCTCATATCAGATTCAAACTCCATGACAGACGTTGCATTCGGTTTTGGGAAGATCTCTGGTGTGGGGATCAGTCACTTTCTCGTACTTTTCCAAGATTATATAGTATTGCCGTTAATAAACACGCCTACATAGTCGACTGCTATCGGCTTGATAGCAGCGGGATTATATGGGATGTGCATTTTTGACGCTCTTTTCAGGATTGGGAGATGGACGAGGTATGTGTTTTTTTGGATCTTCTGTATTGACAGGAGGGCGTTGGTAGAGGTAATGATGTTTTAAGTTGGGTTCCCTCTTCTCATGGTTGTTTCGAAGTTAGATCTTTGTTCTTATGTTTGTCAAATTTTGTTAATCGAGACTTCCCGCTGAAAACTATTTGGCGGTCTATGGCTCCAACTAGGGTGGCTTTCTTTGTTTGGACTGCTTTGTGGGGAAAGATTCTGATAATTGATAATTTGAGAAAAAAGGGCAATTGTATAGTTAATCGCTGTTGTCTTTGCAAGGATGACGAGGAGTCCGTTAATCACCTCCTTTTGCATTGCCCTGTGGCGATTGACTGTTGGAATCTTATTGTTGGGTTGTTTGGCATGTGTTGGGTTATGCCACGATCTACTAAGAAATTGATTCATATTTGGAGAGGTTGTCGAGTGAGAAGAGACGTTCGCGATTTCTGGAGAATTGTACCACATTGTGTATGGTGGTGCATTTGGAAGGAGAGAAACAGCAAAATGTTCGAAGGAAAAGAGTCGCCTACGGAAGCGGTCAAACTTTACATTCTTCGTTCTCTCTTCAATTATATGAAGAGGAGCTTTTGTTCTTCTTCATATGATTTAATTACTTTTTTGGATTCTTTGGGGCCTTAGCTCCGGTTCCACTTTTGTAATTGGGACGCGTTCCCCTCTTGAACGCCTTTTTTTAATATTATTTTTACTTATCAAAAAAAAAAAATATGGTATTACAATATAAACCCAGATATAAAGTTTGTGTGTGTGTATATATATATATATACATTTACACACATATATACTCTTAACTCAATGGGAATTCTGAAAGTCAAAGTAAATCCCTTTTTTTCTGTTTCTACTATTTCGACTATTTGTGGCTGAAGCGAAGAGATGATGCATGGGTGACACATCTTTGTAGATTGATGGTGAGTGGCTTAGGCATATATAATCGTACATATCTATATGATGCATCCAAGTGGCTTGTTGATTGATGCCTAAAGGCTCGATATTGTTGAAACTCCTCAGCTGCCAATTGTGAGAGAGGGAAAGGATTGATTACCCATTTATCTCAATGACTCTCGGCTAGTTCTAGTGGATTGGCAATAGATAATTTGTTGGGCCAGTGCAGTGCAAAACTAATAAATGATTATAGAGAACAGAGTAAATCACCATTAGATTGGCTGTGGTGGAGAGAGAGAAAGAGAGATGTTGGGGAATCCTATAAAGGTGGCAATGGCAGTGGTAGCGGTAGCGGTAGCGGTGTTGACGGTGGTTTTGAGAGAGAAATGTAGGCTGAAAAATTTTAGAGAAAGAAGAAAAGGGTATATAAAGGGAAATATGGACATTCAGAGAGGGCAAACTGGTAATTAAACTCTTCTATTTTATGATTTTTTATTTATTTATTTATATTTTTTTTTATTGCATCTTCAATTTAATATGATTATATTAATGTTGTGGGTAAAATGGTAAAACAACACAAACTGTTTGTTTATGTTAGGTTTACTAATAATGACAGGTGTTGGAATTATTTTTGTGAAAGTTTTATGTCATAGGAGGTCATGGTAATTTACCCTTAATTATTCCATGATCACCCATGAACTAGCTTCACTTCTGAGCCAATTGAGAACTTCAGTGATTAAAATCTATTCTATAAAATGAGAAGTTGACCTGATCTTCTGAAAGCTTGACTGGTATTTTACCACCATATCTCTGAGTTCTAAATTTTATTGAAATAAATGAAACATTCTGTCTGTCATTTTCACAACTTTATCCAGAAAAGGCTCAGTTAGTTTTACTTGGTCTTTTTACCATTTTATAGCTATTGGAGACAATTATAAAGAATTGTGGGGATATTGTCCATATGCATGTAGCGGAGAAAGATGTGCTTTATGAGATGGTGAAAATAGTGAAGAAGAAGGTCAGAATATTATTTGAATGATTGGTTTCTCCCTTATATGTATACTCTTTTTCTTTTCTTTTTTTCCTTCTTTATGGTAGATAATAGCTAATCTGTACAATTGTAGCCTGACTTTCAAGTCAAAGAGAAGATATTGATTCTAATTGATACTTGGCAAGAAGCTTTTGGGGGACCAAGAGCAAGATATCCACAATACTTTGCAGCATATCAGGAGTTGTTGGTACGTTGAATATAATTGTTTTACTAAAGTAATTTACAGTTTTGAGTAGGAAATAATTAATTAAGAAACTAAATGCCTTCAGGTAATTTTATTTTTATGTACCATTTGCTGCTTTACTTTCTGAGAAACTGCTCTCTGTTTTTTATTATTTTTTTTATTCTTTAGCGTGCTGGGGCAGCATTCCCTGAGAGATCTGAAAGGTCTGCACCTGTATTTACACCCCCACAGACACAGCCTCTGACATCATACCCACAAAATCTTCGTACTCCAGAAAATCAGCAAGAAGCGGCTGAATCATCTGCAGAGGCTGATTTTCCAACTTTGAGGTACATTAATTAGCTCCTTTGCTGTTTGCAAGAAAGTTAAATTGGCTGTTGGCATCCAGTCTATCAGTATGACAAACTTCTTGCCATTTGGCCAATGGTGCTTCTTTCTTGGTAGCAGCAACTCCTTAGTTGATCTCAAGAGTTAAATGAGTGTCCAATTTTTTGGAATATGCAAAGCTAATTATAAATCTCTTAAGCATTTCTTAAAGAATGATCTGGTTTTCTCTTTGAAACTACACACCTGTATGCATTCAATTTGGATGATCTAGTATTGTAGTGAAGATCTGTTTATCTTGACTGCTGTGTTGATAACTTTATTTGATTCTGGTCATCATATGGATTAAAACATAATTATATGATAATTCAGATGTGAAGTATAGTGTGTGTAAAATAGAATTGGAGATGTACACGTCACTATGTGCGATTTCACCCCACTAGGGGCGATTTGTGAGGCGATATGTGTTTTGGTTGGTTGGAATGAAATCTTTTCTGGATATCGCAAGATTACCAAGAATTTCGCTTGGGGGAGATGTGAAGTCGGCGGTTCCTCATCGCGGTCCGTCGTTGTATATCGACGGGGAATCCGTCGGAGGAAGGATATCTGTTCTCTCCTCTTGTTTGGTCGGAAAATTTGACAAGTGGGGAGTTGTGATCGCGTGAAAGAATGGGCAGCGAGGGCTTGGAATACGACTTGTGGAGTGGGGGTTTCACCGTTATCCGATTCAATGCTTCTTTTCCGGTTTCCTTCTCAAGCAGAGGCCAAACGTGTGTTGAAAGAAGGGCGAAGACAATGGGGTTCTGCAACTTTGAGGATCGACGTGTGGTCCTTTCGTGTTGGTTGCCGTGGCGTTCTCAGTGATCAAGGTCTCAAGCAGATCCGGTTGTTTGGACTTCCATTACATTTATGGTGCCATGCTCTGTTCGTCGAAGTGGGAGAACTTTGTGGTGGTTATGTCAGATCTGACGCGGATGAGACCAGGGATGCTGAAAGCGTTCGGATAATAGTACGAGTTGGTCGTGATTGTCCGAAGTTTGTGTATATCAACGACGACACTTTCTGCTACAAGGTCGCGATTTGGGAAGAAATTTCGCCGGAGCTTGTTCCTTCAACGGAAAGTCTTGTAGGCAGTGACGGATCTCATCTTATGTCGGAAGAAAAATGGAATGAGCTTCTTAGCAAAGGTGAAGAAGGGATTCTCGAAATTCAACAGTGGCTGAAGGATCGTGAAATTCAGCAAAAGGTGAAGTTTATTGGAGGTAGACGACGAGGTGAGATTCACACGCCGAGCAAACGCGTCGTTGATGAGCAACACCGGTGTACACGTGGTGAACGATGGGCTACCCCTTCAGATTCAGCTCTATCCTTATTTCTTGAAGATAAGGTAGGGAAGGATTATTTTCGGGCTGATAAAGGTTTTACTTTGGGCCATAAGTTATCAAGACAGGTCAGGAAATTTAGGCCTGATAATCATGGGCTCATTCAATCTCAACCTTACAGAGCGTATTTGGGTTCTGGGCCTGTTAGAAGAAGACTACAGAAAGGGCCACTTAGATTTGGTCAAACTGGGCAACTCCAAACTGGGCCTCTCAAGTCTGGGCCTATTAGAAAGGTATGAAAAGGGCCTAACTCATTATCTATCTCACTTACAAACATCAAACCTGGTCCTAATGAATCACAAGCCCATACCAAACCCTCTAATATTTTGATGAAATCCGAGAGGAGATTGACGAACGTCGGACGCCATGGATCTCGGTGGACTCGGAATGAAAAGCAGAAATGGGTCGCACGTTCTCGCACTTCTTCTCCAGGTTTGAGTCCTAATCTTTCTCTCAACACTCTTTCTACTTCTTCTCCTTCTTCTTCGGGTGAAGTGGCTAGCGACAGGAATGTTGCTGAGAATGTTTCGGGTCAACAGAGAAGTATCATTGGGATTTCGACTTCAAAATCAGAGTTGGACGTCTAAAAGGTTACTACCGAGAGTACGGGTTTTCTCAATGGAGTGACAGTTTGTGTTGGAAAAGATTTGCATTTCAAATTGAATAATGATTCAGCCGTAGCTTTGCTTAAAGAGCTTCGGCTATTTATTTCAGTTAAAGGTTTGAGCAATTTTTCATCTGAGCATGAGGAGTTTTCAGTAATCCCATCCAAAGAAGTTAATGCTTCGGAAATAGAGGGGATTTTACAGGAAGGAGTGGTTGATGTTGCTTTTCAGCAGCACCCTTTTAACGCATCTTTTTCCGGGACAGATCCTGTTCACGATGAAGTGGACTTTATGGAACCTTTGGCTGTTGTGCGGCCTGATTGTTTGGAGACAACCACTGATCTGGGCATAGAATGGGTCATTGAGAATATTGGAGCAGTTAGTGAAGCTTTGGGTGTCTCTGCAGAAGGTTATGAGGAACAAACCCTGTGTATTCTCCACAAAATTATTGCAGGAAATGGTAGCAGTGAACCAATTCGTGACACAAAAGAAGTCAAAGTCAGAAATTCACATCGGAAAGGCGAACAGGAAGTGAAGAATTTGATTTCTTGTGTTAACTACGATGGAAAGAATGGGTCAACCAAAGAAAGGGGGAGAACCAGGAGTGGTAAAAGGGGAGGAGGTGAATTGATTGTTTTTGGTTCTTCATGAAGCTACGACTTCTAACATGGAATGTTCGTGGTCTTAATGACCCGAAAAGAAGAAGAGTTATCAAGGTCGCTTTGAGGAAGTGGAGTGCTCATGTTGTCTGCTTACAAGAAACTAAATTGGCTGATATTACTGTTGAGATTGTCAGGAGTCTTTGGGGAGGTTGGTTTGTGGACTTTGAAGTTTTAAATGCAACAGGCACTTCAGGTGGTATTCTCCTCATGTGGTATGGTAGATGGTTGTCAAGTTTGAACTGTTGGAAGGGTATTTTCTCGGTGTCATGCATGTTTCAGATGGAAGAAGACAATTTCAAATGGACGTTTTCAGGTGTGTATGGGCCTGTTACTGATAGTGATAAACCAGTCCTGTGGGAAGAGCTTTGCTTTGTTAAGGACTTATGGTCATTGCCTTGGTGCTTAGGTGGGGATTTTAATTCTGTTAGATCCCCATTTGAGAGATCCACAGGAGGTAGGTGGTCTTCAGAAATGACCATGTTTTCAGAATTTATTGACAATAATTTTCTTATCGATCTTCCGTTGGAAGGAGCGGCTTTTACTTGGTCTAATGGTAGGGAACCGGTTACTTTTTCTCGATTGGATCGTTTCCTGATTTCTGGGGCTTGGGAAGAGCATTTCCCGGATGTCTCTCAGGCTGTGTTGGTTAGAGTCACATCTGATCATGTACCTCTTGTTTTGGATTGTGGTGGTTTGAGGTCTAGACGCACTCCTTTCAGATTCGAAAACATGTGGCTTAGATCTGAAGACTTTCAAGGGAAGGTTCAGTCTTGGTGGCAAAAAGGGTCTTTCACAGGCTCTGCTAGTTATGTGTTAGCTAGAAAGCTTCAGTTTCTTAAAACTGAGCTTAAGAGATGGAATAAAGAAGTTTTTGGGAATCTTGAATGGAAAAAGAATAGAGCCCTTGCTGATATTGCTGAGCTTGATCGTTTAGCTGAGGTGGGACAGAGTAGGGAGTCTTTACGCTCTCAAAGAGCCTCTTGTCAAGCGGTTTTTGCTGAGATTGCTCATATGGAGGAGATTTCGTGGCGTCAAAAGTCTCGGGCTTTGTGGTTAAAAGATGGTGATCGGAATACAAAATTCTTTCATAGACTGGCCAATGCTCACAGAAGGTGTAATCATATCGGACGTATTTGGGTTAATGGTTCTGATTTGTGGAGAGAAGAAGATGTGCGCGGAGGAATTGCTTCTTTTTATCGGCAGCTTTACACTGAAACTTTGGATCGAAGACCTACTCTTGATGGTCTTCCATTTAATACTATTTCTGCGTTGGATAGTGATAGTATTGAGATTCCATTCACGGAAGAGGAAGTGCTTAAGGCACTTTCTAGTTGCAACGGGGACAAAGCACCAGGGCCAGACGGATTTACTATGCGCTTTTTTAAGGAGAGTTGGGAGGTGGTGCGAGAGGAGGTGATGAGCACTTTTCAGGATTTTTATTCTCATGGCACATTTGAAAAATCTTTGAATGCATCTTTTATTGCTCTCATCCCTAAAAAGGGCGGTGCATCTGATATCAAGGATTTTCGGCCAATTAGCTTAATCGGATGTATGTATAAGCTTATTGCCAAGGTTCTTGTCTCCAGGATGAGTAAAGTGTTGGATGGTCTTATCTCAGAATCGTAGAACGTTTTTGTTGGTGGAAGGCAGATTTTGGATTCTGTTCTTATTGCTGGGGAATGTGTTGACTCTAGATTAAGAAGTGGGGTTCTTGGCGTTTTGTGTAAGCTTGATATCGAGAAAGCTTATGATCATGTTAATTGGAAGTTTGTTTTGTATCTTCTTCGGAGGATGGGATTTGGTGATAGATGGATAAAATGGATTGACACTTGTATCTCATCAGTTATGTTTTCTGTTCTTGTGAATGGCTCTCCTGCGGGTTTTTTTGCTAGCTCACGTGGTCTGCGACAAGGTGATCCATTATCTTATTTTCTTTTTCTCATCGTTATGGAAGGTCTGACTAGATTAATGAGAAAAGTGGAAGATTTGGGTTACATTAGGGGGTTCAGAGTTGGCAGAGATGTTGATCATCAGATCCAGATTTCCCATCTTTTATTTGCTGATGATACTTTGGCATTTTGTGCTGCTGATATTTCTCAACTCAGATATCTGAGGTGCACTCTTGCTTGCTTCCAAGCAGTTTCTGGGCTTAAGATTAATGTCGGAAAGAGTGTGCTTGTTCCAGTGAGGGATGTTCCAGATATTTCCTCCTTAGCTGCTGTTTTAGGGTGCGGAGTTGGTTCTTTTCCTCTTCCTTATTTAGGATTGCCTTTGGGAGTTTCTTCTACTCCGGTTGGGAATTGGGATTCAGTGATTAATAGATATGAGAAAAGATTAGCAGGATGGAAAAAGCAGTATCTATCTAAGGGTGGGAGAGTCACACTTATAAAGAGTACTCTTTCATCCCTTCCTACCTATTTTTTATCTTTGTTTCAAATTCCATGTTCTGTTGCTGATATAATTGAAAAAATTCAGAGGGATTTTCTGTGGGGTGGAAGGGGAGAGGAGTTTAAGTATCATCTTGTTAATTGGGATCAAGTTTGCCAACCATTGAGATTCGGAGGGTTAGGCATTCGAAAAATTGTTCCTTTTAATCGTGCTCTCTTAGGAAAGTGGTTATGGCGATTTGGAAGGGAACGACATCGTTAATGGAGAAGAGTTGTCTCGTGTCGTTTTGGTGAGGGGAGTGGGGGTTGGTCATCTATTCCAGTCACTATTACGGGAGGCGTTGGTTTGTAGAAATTTATTCGGAAGGGATGGGATGTCTTCTCTACTCTTATTAGATTCAAAGTTCGTAATGGCAGGCATGTTCGTTTTTGGGAGGATCTTTGGTGTGGTGACCAGTTGCTTTCACACTCATTTCCTAGGCTTTATAGCATTGCAACTAATAAGCAGGTTTTCTTGATTGATTGTTATCATCTTGATAACAATGGAGTTACGTGGGATGTGCGGTTTAGGCGGTCTTTTCAGGATTGGGAAATGGAGGAAGTCTCTGCTTTTTTGGATATTTTGTATAGGCAGAAGGATATTGGTAGAGGGTGTGATGATAATTTGTGGGTTCCTTTGGCTCATGGTCGGTATGATGTCCGCTCTATGTTTATTCATTTATCCAATTTCGTTGGTTCCGAGTTTCCTTGGAAGTCCGTGTGGTGCTCTAAAACCCCTCTTCGAATCGCGTTCTTCGTTTGGACAGCTACATTGGGGAAGATTTTGACTTTGGACAATTTGAGAAAGAGAGGCAACATCATTGTTAATTGGTGTGGCGTTTGGTTGTTGGAGTTTTATTTTCAGCATATTCGGCATTTTTTGGGTAATGCCTAAGCACTCCTCTTAATTGATTAACGCTTGGAAAAGCTGTTCTGTTAAGAAACAAACTCGTGCTTATTGGAAGATTGTTCCTCATTGTGTCTGGTGGTGTTTGTGGCGTGAGAGAAATAACAGATCCTTTGAAGGAAAAAAATCGTCCTTAGCTAATTTAAAAATTCATATTCTTCGTTCTTTATTCTTTTATGTTAGAGGAAGTACATGCTCCTCGATTGATGATTTCTTTGATTTCTTGGATTCTATTAGTCCTTAGATCTTTCTCTTGTATTAGGGATGCGTTCCCCTTTTGAACGTTTTTCTAATATATTTTTACTTATCAAAAAAAAAAAACATAATTATATGATAAGTAAGTTACTGATGAAGCATTTTTCTGGTGGCTTCAAGAATTGTGGAGAATGCCAGCAACATGTGAGTTAGCTGACCAAAGATAGCTGGGACAAGTAAATTTGTTGATCCAGCGATAACTTGTGAACTCGGTTGGACTAATAGTGCAATGCAATTTTTCAAGAAATTTGTGGAATTCATTTTGCCAATTGGTGTTTCTTTCTTGGTAGTTGCATTTGACTAGTTACGTGATCTCAAAATTTAAGTGAGTGTCCAATTACTTGGAATTCGAAGCTAACTCTTGAGAATCTTAAAGAATCCCTTTGAATCTATGTGCTTATATACATTTTATTTGGAGTAGTGAAGGTCTGTTTGCCTTGACTTCTGACCTTCGTTCAATTCAGTTCATTACTTCACTGTATATGGAATAAATTGTAATTAGATGCTAAGTTACTGTCGAAGCAGTTTTCTGATGCCTTTTTGAGTAGCGGAATATATGAGTTAAGCCAGCCTGTTTGTGGGGACAAGGCTTTGTTGATCCAGTGATAACTTTTGACTCATGCTGGACTTTTTAGTGCAACACAATCTTCAAACATTCTTGTGGAAAGAAAAAGCAACAAACATGGACAAACATAATGTATTAACTAAGAATAAGAATATCATTTTCTGTGTAAAATAAAATAATAAAGTGGGGAATGAACCAACACTGTCCACCACTATAGATATTTTCTCCTATTTCCTCACTCGATCAAAGTTTATTATTGTCCTTTAGGTTATTTACCTTGCGGACCATTTGAAAATTCACAAGTGACTTTGCTAGTTATCTTCATCGGCACCAATTTTAACTATTAATTCATGTGGCTTGCTCATACTCTACAAACTGGCACATTTATTAGTTGTTGAATTTGTTTTCCACATCATGTGTGCTGATACCCCAAAGAACTTATGCACTAGAAGGCTAGGACTGAGTGCTTAGTGTTGAACACTAGCTGATAAAATTTTTTTTTTTTTTTTCTTACTATACCTAATTTTAGCCCAGCCTGAAAAAAATATATATATATTATTATTACTATTAGGCCACCCAAAGAAATATTACCCCACCCCATTGAGAATTCCTGGATTCGCCCTTGGTGTTGAATCATCTTGTTGTTCCCATATTAATGGTGTGAATGTTTGCTTAGACAAATGAAAAAGTGTGCAATTTCACTGAATTGAGAACAATATTAAAATCAGCATAACTACTCTGATATCTTGCTACGTTGGTTGCTTTAAATTTGTCATGCATCTTTTACCAAGTTTTATATTGGTATTTTTGGTTATGCATTTTTGGTTTCAATTGGTATTTCCTTTGTTAGTTTGACAGAAATTCAGAATGCACGGGGTATTATGGATGTCCTTGCAGAAATGCTGAGTGCATTGGATCCAGAGAACAAAGAGGTAATATTAATTTGCTGTAAGGGTCATTTCTTCTTTTTCAGAAATGAGATCTTTCTGTGTTTATATATAAATGATAATATGATATGCGATTGATTATATTTGTGATTCTAAACGGGGCTACACAGACTTGGTGAGGCATTTGCTTTGCTTAGTTCTGGGCTTGTAGACTTGGTGAGGCATTTGCACAATTCTTTGCTTAGTTCTTGGCTCGTACTTGTACGATCGGAAGACAGCGTAGACTTGGTGAGGCATTTGCACAATGCTTCGCTTAGTCCTGGGCTCGAATTAATGCTAAAAATTTACAAGTTTTCTCACTGATGCTTTTATTTCTTAAATAAAATACTCTCAAATCTATAAGAATTCATGAACTGTCTTGTACGTGTGATTTTATTTATTTATTATTATTTTTTTTTCCCACAGATTTTTTAACGCATGTTAATTCTTAATTCATTTTTTTTTTTTTTTTTTTTTCCCCTCAGCTTTTTAAGTAAATCTATTCCCACTTTGCAGGGGCTTAGGCAGGAGGTTATGGTTGACTTGGTGGAACAGTGTCGTACCTACAGGCAAAGAGTGGTACACCTTGTTAACTCCACTTCGTAAGGCCTTGTATTTCTTTCCCACTACCCACTGTTTATTCGTATAGTGACTTCCGATGCTTCTCTTAGTTCTACTATTTTGATTTTTCTAATCCTTTTCCCATTTTCCATTTTATGTGTAAGACATTTTAATATTTTATTGCCAAGTTGATAGAGCAATAACGAGGTGATGCAAATTGCTGAAGGATAAGGTGACCTTCTGAGACAAACAACTTAAAATTTTCTACAACTGGTGAACAACCAGGACAGGAATCAAACCGACGAGGGGGTAGAGTGTCTTCTTAAGTGTTCAAGGATGGGCAGGCAACCGGTGTGCAAACTGGCTTTTCAATCTTTCCCTCCAATGAGCTGGGTTTTGTCATCTGTGATGCTCCCTTTTGTAGCTCCTTTTGTTTGTGGATCTACTTGGGGTGGCATACTCCCAGTTTGTCTATTCATAGGTGGACCTTGGCCTCTTTCAAACACCCTACCCCTCCTTCCAAAAAGAAAACAAAAACAAAAATAAAAAGAAGAAATTGTTAAAAGGTTGAAGCTCCTGTTTTTGGCCAAGATGCTTATGTGTATGTTCTGTTATAGTTCAAATTTATTGCTTCCTTGACTTATAAAAAAAAAAAAATTGCTTTGCCGATTTCTTAAATTCCAGGTCAGCCTAACAGATTCTTTTGACATCACTGTTGAACATGTTCCCAATGTGATATATTGTCCTATGATACTCTGTCCAATTTGTCGGTTCTGAAACCTTTGCTGAACTGTTAGGACAGTTTCCAGTTTTCTTCTTGTCCATAATCAAAGTTCTTGAGGAAATTCTTGAAGCACCCCTGGCTAGTAAACCTTGAGTTACAGAAATGTTTAGTTTAGCTTTATATGCCACTTCACATGGCTAAACTTGCCAGATTATCCGAATTTCTCCCCGGAATGTGGTTTGGATTAAATTGTGTGCATCAAATTTATTCCTTGAGCTCTCTTTCTTCTGTCTTTATTTTGCGAATGAAAGGTTGCCCTTTGGCTCATAACAAAAGCGTTCAAACCCTTAGAAGACATAGTAGATACAGAAAAATTGTTCAGATTGGATATTGCTGTGGAAGATTGAGTTGACATTTGAGAGGTTGGAGTGTCATTTGCTTTATAAAAGAAAAAGGGCCATGGAGTAGAAAGGTAACACATGGAAGTGTAGCCCAAGTAATGACCCTAGGGGGGTGGGGGTTGAATTTGGTCTTGTGGCAAACAATGGTAGCTTTTTCAATTGTTGTTGAATGCAAGTGAAATTAAGACATATATGGAAGTGAGATGCAGACAAGCATAAACAATAATAACAATAATGGAGTTTAAGGGATAGAGAAATTCAAACACCAAGACATTTATGAGGTTCGGATCTCTGCTTTACTTCCTCGCCTCAAGCATTTGCTTGAGGATTCCCCAAATCAGTAATTGGGCCCTTTGTTGTGATGAAGAGCAAAACCTTTACAACTCACACAAGGCTGAGAGTAGGCCTATCTCCTCTCACACCAAGACCGAGGGTAACCTTGTCTTCTTTCACCCAAAGGCCAAAAGTAAGCTTATCTCCTTTCACACAAAGGCCGAAAGTAAGCCTGTAATCTCTCTCTCACAAAGGCTGAGAGTGAGCCTTGGGTGTACAATGATGTATCTCCTTTCACACAAAGGCCGAAAGTAAGCCTGTAATCTCTCTCTCACAAAGGCTGAGAGTGAGCCTTGGGTGTACAATGATGTATCTCCTTTCACACAAAGGCCGAAAGTAAGCCTGTAATCTCTCTCTCACAAAGGCTGAGAGTGAGCCTTGGATGTACAATGATGTATCTCTCAGAGTATAGACGTGTACCAGTTTAAGCCTAAAATCCTAGAGCTAAGATTGAATACTCAGTTGATAGCTCAATCTATGATGAATGTGTATGAGAAACTGTGAATGATGATAAAGAAAGCTCAAGAGTATTCTCATACTAGTTTCTAACAATTATATACTGATCGAAGGTCATATTTATAGTCTCTTTAAAAAATAGAGGAGTTGTAAGCATTTAATGCTTGAAGAGACAACTGAACTAGCCGTTTGATTTAGAGTTCCAATGTAGACAAGTTAACTTGCTTATGAAGCAGTTAACCTAGTCAAATGCCCTTTGAGTGTTTAAAGTCTCTGGGCATATCAAGTTGACTGATCCAAGGGAATCAGTTAATTGACATTTGAATTGTCTGTAAGGCCTAAATCTCTAGAGTGACTGAGTTGACTGATCAAAAAGTGAGAGTCAACTGAATAGAAGTATTTTCACAAGGAGAGTTCAACTGATAGCATGAGTCGACCTTTGCTTTTCAGTCTGTCAACTGAATTGGCCCGATTCTTAGATTTTGAAATTCAAAGTACATAGGCTCAATTCGAACGGACTTAGGGCCTTGAAAGATTGAATCAATAGAGTTTCAAGTCCTCAGTACTTTCAAGATGACTAATGAGATTTACAAGATATTCCAGATTGGAGATTATCTTATGGTCAGTTAAGGTTTTTAGGATTTGAAACAAATGAGTGCAAAGCCTTATGAGAAACCAAGAGACCAAATCAAATGATATAAATTGAGCACGTGGTCCTGGTTTATGATTCCAACAGTTGAGTTCTTCCAAAGCTTGCAAAAGCTCTAACTCAACCTGAGCAAAGGCCTCATGAAGGATAAGAATGAAATTCCTGGCCAATTTGCATATGGTCAGAGGACTCATGAAGGATATGACTTATGATGCATGGTCCTAGATATGAGCTTCAACTTAAAGTAATTCAAAATTAGATTTACAATCAATTCTAGCTCACACCGTAATTATCTACCCCAGTTCTTCAATGATGTTCATCTTTTCAGCTTTTGGGATGATGTCTCCATTCTTTGAGTCTGATTCTGATGTCTTTGAGCTTTACAATGTAAAATTTTAGTTTCGGATCATCAAATATAACACTTCCAATGATTTGATATCATCAAAATGTCTCGATTGCCCTTGGTTAAAACCTTTAGGTCAACAGGAAGGGTAAAGATGCCTAAGTAGACCTAAAGGCGAGGCACTTTATATTCTTTCCTTTCCAGCTAGGCAGTTGGGTGAACATGTTGCTTGTAGATGTTTGATTGATACTTCTTATTCTTAAACCTATTTAGGTATATACCCTCTGTGTGTGTGAGACGTGACATCCCACATCGCCTAGAGAAGTTTCCGACACTTATAAGGGGGTTGCCTCCTACTTGTGTAGACACATTTTGAAAACTGTGAGCGCCAAGAGGGTGCAAGGCAGACCTTACAAGCCCATTAAGGTCAAGCTAGCAAGGACGCTGGGTCTCAAGAGGGGGTGATTGTGACGTCCCACATCACCTCAGGATGCCTCTTACCTGTACAGAAGCGTTTTGAAAACCATGAGCGTCTAGAGGATGCAAAGCGGACAATATCTACAAAGTGTGCAGCAGGGTCTCTTTCTTTCTCTTGCGTGCGTTTCTTTTGCATGTGTGGGTATGCTTGTGTATCATTGAGGATAGTGAAGGCGCTTGGACTAGATGTTATGAATGGGTGAGTTGTTGAACTGTGAATCATCCCTTTGGTGGGTTGTTGTGTGTGAAAAGGTGCAATTGTGATACACAATCATACAACAAAAATTCTTTGGTTGTCAAAATTCTTTGTTGGATAATTCCTGCATTCTTGTACAACAAAAACGCTTTGGTGTCTCCATTTTTTTTTTGTTGGATAATTCCTGTCCAAATTTGTTTTATTTTTATTTTTATTTTTATTTTTTGTGGTTGACATGGATAACATTGAAGTTAACGAGTCAAATCTTTATATGATGTGGTTCTTCATATATTGGAGGTCGATTGTGATGGTGAGACATTGCATGACTGGGATGTTCTTTTGTTATGTAATATCATTTGTGGTTCATTTTAATTAGGGAGAGTAATGTTTTTCAAGGATTTCCTCAATGAGTTAGCTAGCTCGTTACTTTGTATCAGATTTAGTATAATTGTCACCGGTAATTCTCATTTACTACTCCTTGCAGGGATGAGTCACTGTTATGTCAAGGACTTTTGCTGAATGATGACTTGCAGCGTCTACTAGCCAAGCATGAAGCCATTGCTTCTGGAACTTCTGGTCAAGCACCGAAGCCTGGACCTGGTCAAGCAGTGGTTGATATTAATGCTCCTCTAATTGATACAGGAGACAGCAAAGAGCCTGATGGCGGGTAATAACTAGTTACCTTCCTTTTCAGTATTTCTGGTATCTACAACCATGAATATGTTGGGTTGCCATTGGAGTTGCCTTCTGAAATAATTAACTTCTGACATCTTTACTGTTTTGGCTTGATCTTTTGCATAATTATTACAATTACCTATTTAGGATATTTTATAGGCGTGAATCATGTTTCAGGATCTTCTCATCATAATTGTCTATATTGTGAATACGCTGCGATTATTGTTGGGTACTGAAATTGATAAGTGATGTGGGTATTGGCCTGATTTTGGTGGAGTTCTCAATTTGAATTTTCATGTAATATCAATATGGTGCGATATATTACTTTAATCCAAATTAGACATTGCACACCTTTTAAATGGTAAATTGAGTATTTGTTGTGTTCTTTGGAAGATTTATGCAGACCTTTTAAAAGTTAGGGTCAACCTCATTGATTAGGTATAGATTAGCTGAGTTTCTTTCAATATAGGATGATGTTATATTCAATTTTTTAATTTTTTATTTATTTATTTATTTTTAACATAACTAATTCTTTCTAGGAAATTTTCCAGCCTTGTCATTCACATAAATTTGTGGCAAAATGAATAGAGCTTGTAGAATCTGAAAATGGCTTGCTGATCTTTTCTCACACCCGAAAATTGTATGCCCAACAGCCAACAGTATAAATGTCAACACGTGTGTGTGCATATATATACATGCGATATATACAGATTTTTATATGTGCATTATATATATATATATATATATATATATATATATATGTATGTATACAATTTTACATTATTGTATAGTATCACGTATTACATACATATCTATATGCCAACCTATACGTGCACATTACAAATTGCCTATATTACATATATTTGATGCCCATACAAGTGTTTATCGCATTTTCTAAGAATTGATAAATTATTTTAAAGCTATAACCAAACACTGGAAATAGGAAGGAAAATTTTATATAGAAGATTTTACCTTGGAAAATAATTTATGGATAAGAGTTTTCTGGTTTTGTTTTCCAATTGATGGATTTTTCTGCGTGAGGAGATTGAAATTTTGTACATGGCTTTAAATTTGTATGTATTGTGAAAGTTGAGAGATAATTAAAACCATGATTTTGCAGTTTCTGTTTATTCTAAGATGGACTTTTCCACAGATCCACATCCAATGCAGGTGCAGGGACACAGTTATTGCTCCCTGCTCCTCCTGCAACTAATGGTCCAGCAGCAATTCCCACAAAAGTTGACGTTAAGATGGACCTTCTGAGTGGAGATGACTTCAGCTCACCTACGGCAGAGAATCCTCTAGCTATCGTTCAAGTGGGGGCACCCCAGCCTGCCAGTCCTATGTCTCAGCAAAATGCCCTTGTTCCTGTAGACATGTTTTCGCAGAGTAACAATGCTCAGTTTGCCTCTCCAGGTGGGCAAGCATATCATTTGACGCCACAATATCAACAACAGCCGAACTCTCCATCTCCACAACCCTTAGTTTACCAAAATGGAAGTGTTCCAGGCATGATGTCGCCTCAGTATGAGCAGTCAGTATATGCACAGGGTGGTAGTCCCGCTTGGAACGGCCAGATAGCTCACCAGCAGCAGCCAGCTTCACCTCTCTATGGTGCACTTCTAATTTACTTTATAATTTACGTGCATCTTTTTTGGGAATGATTACAGTGTTCCGGGTTTTGGGAGGGGTTTGAAATACTCTATACCTATGTACGTAATAAATTGGGGCAAGTCACTGCATACAGAGAGCTTTAGTCATTCTTGTGGAAGTGTGGTGATTATTGATCTTCCCATATTTTTTCACCAGACTGACCAGCAGTGACTAGAAGGATATAGGGCAGTGTGTGACAATATGTAGGATTGTTGCTACTGTCGTGTTGCGATAAAATTTATGACATTTGCTGGATGTTTGACAGGTGCTCAAAGAAGTGGGTCACTACCCCCGCCACCCTGGGAAGCTCAGCCGGCAGATAATGGCCAACTAGCTGGGACTCAATACCCTCAACCAATGCAGGTCACTCAGGTGGTTGTGACACACTCGCAGCCAATGCTGAACGGCACACATCATCAAGGATCTCCCACTATGGGGAATGACCCAGTGGTAGGAATGTATATTCAACCAGTCACAAACAACCATCCGTCAGCTATCAATAACCAGGCTTATCAGAGCAATCAACTGGTGGGCTTGCCTCAGCAGTCAATGGGTATGTACCCGCAGCAAATGCAATCTGGCCAGATGGCTTATATGAATCCTCAGCAGCAGCAGATGTATAGCAACCAAATGGCGGGTTACGGTTATGGCTATGGTCAGCAACAAAATGCTCAGTTCCTGGAGCAGAGAATGCATGGGCTATCCGTTGGGGGCAATGGTGCCTTGGCGAATTCTCCCTACCAGGCATCTACTCCGTCCTACGTGTTACCGGGAAAGCCCTCAAAGCCAGAGGATAAACTGTTTGGAGACCTTGTTGACATTGCAAAAGTTAAGCCAATAAAAACCACTCCTGGTAGAGCTGGTAGCATGTAATGTAATGATTGGTTTTGCATTTTCATCCTTGTATTTTTTTTTTTTTTTTTCGTTTTTTTTCCTTCAACTATTTTTTCTTATTTCAATTTTTTTTCACTATACATATTCTTCACTTTAGCCCCATTTTTTTTTTTTTGCTTGTTTTTGCATTGAAATATGTACATGCCTCGTAGAGGGGAAAAAAAGAGAGTATTATTGAAACACTCATTTGAAATGCATTGAATTTATAGGATATCAATTGCTTTCTGTTCAAGGCCTCACTCTGAATTGTTAGTGTCGTTATATGACAAACGGACACCATCTGTTGTTTGGTTGCAGGGACTTTGTAATGTGTATGAACTTGCAACTTTTGTTTACTGGATGGAAAATATTTTCATTTTGCTAATGCAAGAAACAATTCAGTTTCAGATATTGTCCATTATGAAATTAAACTTCCTATGCTATTGAAAGGACCAAGAGTACATGTGGGCCTAACTCGGCCCAACTCATCTATACGGGCAAACCATTAAGCAACCCTCGAGCCCCATCCAAAGAAAAGGCTGGGCCTGATGATTATCGGGCCGAAAGGACAGGGACAAACCCCCCAATGGGTGGGGCCAAAAATGAAGAGAAGCCCATCAACCTCTAACTGGAGAATTGAGAAAGAGAATTAGGGTAACATAAGAGAAAAAGATGAAGGAAAGAGTCGAGTGTTTGGTGTAAGAGAAGGGACCTTTCCATTAAGAGAGAGAAAAAATTTCTTGTACTTTCAGCTATTAATCCATACCTTTAGAAGATTTTGTTCTTGGACTTTGCTTCATGAGAAAGTCTTCAATGTAATGGTACCTTGTTATATTAGTAAAACTGCATCTGTTTAAGTGGTGCTTGAGTCATGGCTCAATTATTTAGAAGATGAACATGAATCGAATCAGATGCATTTATGCACTAATTGCTTATTATGCATCAAACGGAATGGATCCTAATGTAAAGAAAGAAAGAAACTCTTGTACTAAAAATTGCTTAAATATATAACTTCTTAACATACATTGAAATAGAAAGAAAAAAAAAAATCATCATCCAGAAATAGAATACATTGACGTCAAGAAATGGTGATTCAGGGATATGTATATGTGTGTGTGTGTGTGTGTGGATTGACTTTCTTATTAAAATCACTCCAAAATCAACTGGGGGTTCTGTGTCTTATGGGAGTTAAAATACGAGCTCCACACGACTTAGAAACCTGAGTTTGATTAAATGTTTCATAACTTAGAATCCCAGTTGATTCGAGTTGATAATCCAAAAATCTATAAAACTTCAGTGAGTTTTTCAAAAATCTTAGGACTTGCTTAGTTTGTAATTCTGAAAATAGTTCTCTAAGAAATCAAAAATCAAAAAACTATTCTCAGATAACAATCTTTTATAATTCTTTGAAAATAAACATTTTTATAACTAAGTTTTCATAAAATAATTTTCTAAAAACTGAACTAAATAGAGATTTTTATACTGTTTTCAGCTTTTTGATAATAGAAAATTGTTTTCATAATTACAACCCAAACAAATTTTTAATGTTTTGCTTCTTGTTGTGAAACATACTTCAATGTGAGATGAGAATTGAAAGGACATGAGAGAGATGGACAATGACAGTAATATCATTTCTCCTCATTAATTGAGGGTGTTTAAGTAAAATAATCAATTCTGATAGTTCATTTTATGATCTATTAATATTATACCACGAGTTTGTTTTACAGACTTTGATTTTTAGGAGAGGTTAAAGTAATATTTGAAATCAGCGCCATATAATTATTGCATCAAAACGAATATTTCACTTGACATCTACTTGTCCCGGGGAAATCCATATTCAGCCTTTTCCTTTCCAAAAATCCATAAATTGGGAGGGGTACTTTTGTCCAAAAAAGTTAACTAACGAACAACTTTGAAGTATAAAAAGCTGGGCTACGATGGTATATATAGATTTGTTTGTTTTTTGAGACGAAAACTCACCAAAGCATCAAAACGAATTGAACTCACCAAAGCATCAACAGAAATGCAGGTTAGCTTATGATCTATTATTATAATGTTCCATTCGATTTCGGGTTCGTTTGTGTATATTTGTTTTTGCAATTGATGTTTATCTGCCAGTACAAATGTTGATTCTTTGAATTAGGTTTGTTTTCGCCGATGCTCTCTGCTCATAAACAAGATTGATTGATTGTTGTTGTTGTTCTTGTGGTTGCTTTGTTTAATTTAGATTAAACTGTGAAAATTTGAAACAAATCTTCCATTTAGCAACGGAAAATTATTGTTCTTTTGTGCTATTTGTGGTGTGTTTCAGTGTACATGTGTGCATATATATATGTATGTATGTATATGGATTGATTTAAATTTAAAGACTTTTTAATAACTGGAGATTGTTTTTTCACTTGAGGCATGTGTAAATGGTACATCACTGTGAATTGTGATTGGTTCAATTTACCCGAGATAATTTCATCATCTGAGATAGATTTATGTTTTGGGATTGTTTCATAATTTAAGATTGATGTTTATGTTTTGTTATTGTTTCATAATTAAAATTGTCAATTCATCTGTAATGAGAAAATAATGCTCAATCAACCGTAACATTAGAACTCCGGTGAAAACCCAGTTTGCATCTAGCTGAAGTTTTAAGAAAATTTGTAGTGCGAGAACTTTCAAAATGAAAACTATTTTGAACAAGTCCTAACCTTGTCTTTACGCTGCATTGAGTAATCTCTCTGTTGTGTGCAACATGGAGATGAAATCTGTCTAGAAATCTTTTTACCATTTTGAATTTTGGAGTGAAGGCATCAAGGGCAAGGCTTTTCAAGGAATACAAAGAGGTGCAACGAGAGAAAGCGGTTGATCCAGATATTCAACTAGCATGTGATGATTCCAACATATTTAAGTGGACTGCGCTTATCAAGGTAGGCTCTGTTTTGATGGAAAAGTTCTGTTGTGTGATGCTGCTGCTTGACTTTATTCTGTATTCAGGGTCCATCAGAAACTCCTTTCGAGGGTGGTGTTTTCCAGCTTGCTTTCTCTGTCCCCGAGCAGTATCCGCTGCAACCTCCTCAAGTGCGGTTCTTGACAAAGATATTTCATCCAAATGTGCATTTTAAGGTATGAATCTTTCGTAAATTTTTATTTTTCAAGATGTTCTTTGGGTATTTTTTTTTTCACCGTAATAATCATGAATATTGCTGAGAAATGATATAAGGAAAAACTAGTACTTGTTATCCCATTGCGCCTTTGAATACTTCAAGCATTAATTTATTTAAGAATTTCATTTTTATAGCTGTGATAATTATGTGTCACTGAAGGTTATGTATTGATGTAGATTATGTGATAAGAATAGGATAAAATTAATGGGAAAAAATTAAGCAAGAATACCTCTTGTAATGGATGAGAATGGTTTTGACTATTTTTCTAATATCACGAACCTGCTCAAATTATAATGTAATATTTGTTTTCTTTTGCTGGAATCTAGTTGAAGCCTTGTAAATTTACCAAAAGGTTGAAACTAGTCCTAGTTTTCTGTCAAAATGGCCTTTGAAACATATTTTTGAATTGGTCGGTCTTTCCACTTAGAAGAGCTGATTAGTGGATGTTCGGATGGGAAAAGCAATACTCCGGAACACAATTGAAAAATAAACATAAAATATTTTTTCATAGTTGAATTTTTCTTCCCCGGTCGAAGTAATTTTGAGTTATGGCCTTATGAGTCTGAATTAGCTTCTCTCAAATTATCTTATTATTGGTTGGGACACTGTCAGTAAACAAAAACTTTATAGTTCATCTTGAATTGAGGGGAAAATTAGTTGAAGAGTGCAAAAAATAATTGAAACCACAGACTTGATCTGGAAAGAACATAATCTGCCGAACTGAACTTCTAATCATCCTGTTAGTTGGTAAAACTGACAAGGATCACCTTTTGGGTCTTTCTCATCCTGAAAATAAAACTAATAGCAGAAATTCTGTGTTGGATGTAATACGGATATTTCATTATGGTCATCATTATTATTTTCTTCCTTGCAGACAGGAGAGATCTGCCTTGATATCTTGAAGAATGCGTGGAGCCCAGCTTGGACACTCCAGTCTGTTTGTAGGGCCATTATTGCTCTGATGGCCCATCCGGAGGCTGATAGTCCACTAAACTGCGATTCAGGTAAACTTGGTGTATTTTTCATGTTTTTTGTGTTCTAAATCTTGAGTTTCCTTGTTCACCGAAAAATGGAAAATATACAATACATTTGGGTTTCCTTCAATCAGATGAAAAACAAGTGTCTTAAATAACAATAAAATAAAATAAAATAATGAAAAAAAACCTAATGAAGAATCAATTTTTGAAAACCACCACTTATCATTGAGGTGTGAACTTCCACTTTAGCTTCCTCACCCAAATACTATTGTTGTTGTGAAACTCGGAGTAAACAATTTATTTATGAAAAAGTAGAAAAAACGTATAGACATTCCAGATCATATACCAATTATGCTCTAGAGAAGGGGGCAAGGAGATGATGTCAAGTTTGAGTTCCTTGAGTACATATGTTTACAGGTCATATGATTGTGACGTCCCACATCACCTGGGGAGGAGAAGTTCATGGCACTTATATGTATGGATGCCTCCTTACTGTGTAGAAGCATTTTGAAAGCCGTGAGCACGGAGAGTGTGCTCAGCACTTTAGCAGACAGTACCTACACAGCTGGGCGAGTGGTGACATCTTTCCCTGCTATTTCTGCCAAGCCCATTCCCTTAGCTGTGGTTTTTCTGGATAGTAGGTAGGGATAGTGGGAATCTCGCTAATCCATTCATGCTCATTTGGCTACCTTTAGAGTCATAGTTACTCCTGCTGCTTACCCGCACTGGTGATTAGATGTGTTGAAGGCAAAACTTGAGGGACGTTGGAACTTGGCTAGGGCACAAGCACCAATGTATTTTGGATGGCATAGAGGCATCTTGCACATAAAGGAGTGATGCTGCAGGATTATCTTATCAAGTGGAAGGGATATCCTTTGGGATTAAGTGCCTAAGCTGTGATGAGGGTGTCATAGGAAAATATGGGGGAGAGCATTAGGGATTGACAATTTTGGCAGACGCTAGGGCGTAGGAGGTAGCGCATGGGCTTGCTATGCATGCAGAAGAACCTGCATTGACAGAATCTTCTCCAGAGTTCTAGAATTGTGTCAAATGCCAAATTTTATCTTGAGCTCTCTAGTTTTTTCAAGAACATTTCAAAGAGTTTTGGAACATGTAAGAATACATGGAGATTTCAGGGTTCTAGAACGTTCCACATATGAGGTTATAACCTTCTGGAGGGTTGATCTAGATCTTCAATGAGGATGACCTCCAACATCCACTAAGGGGCATTGATAGTTTATCATGTCACACAAAATGATTTACCGAGAGATACACATGGCATAGAGAATTGGCTTGATCGTATAGTCTCAGATTGGATGATGACTTGGAGTGAGTATTGTATTTCGAGTGAATATAAGTCTGGGCATTCTCCTTCCAATTTTAACTGTCTGGTGCATCTAGCTCACTATCATTGCTTCCTATTGTGGGAGTAAGACTGGCCTATACCTCATCGCAAGGGGTAGTATTTGGTGAGACCATGGAATTGGATGACGATATCGCACTGTACTGGAAAATCTCCTATAGCCAAGCATAACTTCTAAACTTATTTCTTTCTAGCTAGATATGGTACGCAGTCCAATTATCCTTGCAATGGGAATCAGAAACCATTTTGTGGGTTTGATTAATGGGTGATCATATTTAGTTGTTCTCATACACGATTTAAATAATTTTCATGACTTTGGCTGCTCATTGTTCTATATTTAATGCATTGCTTCTGCTCTTACACAGGCAATCTTCTACGTTCTGGTGATATCCGAGGGTACCAATCCATGGCAAGGATGTATACTAGTCTTGCAGCCATGCCCAAGAAAGGGTGAAATTAACAATTTTGTTGCAAATTTGTCTTGGCAATTGCTAGGGTTTTTCTATTATTGTGCATGTAACTATTGCAATAGCACCAAAAGAAATTGTAGACAACTTAAATAACAATATAATTGTTTGTCATGCTTCTCTACATTTTTTTTTTTTTTTTTTTTAACAACGAATTTCTGTTCTTGAATTCTGCACATTGCAAGCTAGATTATTTATGTCACTAAGGAATTTTTTTTTATTTTTTTTTGGGTTCAGCTTTCTTTCATTCATTTCAGCCAGTAGCCAATAATTCATTGACTTGTAATTATAAAATACCTTGCACAGTTCCAATTGAGCAAAATACCAATGAATACACCACGAGGCTCTTGGCTTGCCAGTTTAGTTTGGGAGGTATGATCTCGAGCCTTAGGTGGTATGACCTCTACTTCCCAAAAGGGAAGATCGAGAGTTCAAGCCCCAAGTGGGGCAATACGAGTGTGCATTGCTAGCTTCAATGACAAACTAAGCAAGAATTGAGTTGTTCATAATCACGACAACAAGCCATCCACCATTAATGGGTCTATGTTATCTACCGAAGAACATAAATCATCTCTTCTTCACATTAGCTAATCATGTTCTTCACCAGCATTGCTCATGAGGCAAAGTGTTTGTAAGCAGCTATTTTGAGCGATATCCGAAGTAGGTCTTTAGCTAGGCTTCTCCAGAAGACCAAGAGTGATAGAAAACTCGAGCTTGTCTCTCCATTGATGCAAAGCAAAATGAACATAAGCACTGAGGGGTGTGTAATAATTTGACAGTAACCTTTTCTTGAACTTCAAAGTATGTTCTTCAAAAGTAACAGAAGGTCAAAAATAAATAAAACCGAGAATTATATACATATATAAATATTGATCATAAACTGTACCAAAAACGTAAGGATCTAGCTAGGGTTGATTCTTCAGTCGACAACATTTCTGAAAAAAGGACCCAAGATTAACTTATAACTGCATCAAGAACAGCCAAAATTTATGGCCAAAATACACAAAGATGCAGTAATAAACTACATAATTTGAACTGTTTCCCCGTGTTAGTATGAGTTTTGAATCTTCGGTCGTATCTTGCCAGTTCCATCTAACAAGACAGCCTTCAGAGGCAGATAACTAGAAGCAACCTCAGAAACTGTCAGACAACCGTGGCAGGGACAATATGTTTTACAGGGCCATTTCCGTTGGGCTCCTTATGAGCTGTGCCAATTTCAGCTTTTATGACGCCATTCTGCACAGATTCTTGTTGGCTTCCGTTTCAGGCTTGGTTAATGGAGAAGACGCTGTTTCTGTAATGTGAAAGACGAAAAACTATTTTCCATTAGATTAGTCCTGTCAGCATACATGACTCTAAGTTCATGAAATCTCAAAAAAGAAAAAGAAAATGCTGTTGCGTCACATTCTAATTTAAAAACCTATTCAATTTCTCTGAACTTTTATTATAAATCCAAGACACTTGAAAAATATAAATTATTCAAACAATTTCAATGAGGTTTAAGGTTGATGTTGAGACAGAACTTAAAAATCAATTTTAATTTGAATAGCTGAAAGCAACTTATTTGGACAGTCACTTGAGAATTGAAATTCCAATAATCAAACTAATTAAAGCCTAAATTAATCCAAATTACAGCATTTGCTAGCTAAAATGCAGATGCTGAGGTAGGTCTGTGACATTACAGGATAAAATTCTAGGAAGAGAACGTGTTTGTGAGAAGTTGGAAGAAGCACTAAATGGGAATGAAATGAGAGAAAACCGTGAGATGTCTGGCTAAGAGTTAGCAGTTGTGGAAACCCATATAGATTTCTGATATTCAAAAACATTAGCTATCAAGTTCAGAGTAACAAAGAGAACCACACCTTTTATGCTTCCACAAGTGACGAGCCTGTTAAGAAAGTTCAAAAACCTCATCAAGACAAGTCTTTCCTGCTCTGCATAAACTTCAGTGAAACCCTGCATAAAAGATGAACTCAGAGTTGTGTTTTGACTACAGCCTGCCATCCCAGTAGGATGCCCAGCTCTCAAGAACATTGTATCTTGTTCATCACACATCAATGCACGTGTCCCTGGAGAAACTGCACTTCCATTTTGAAAATCAGCTCCAACAGATGCACAATCATCCCCTTGGACCCCATCTGTTTGGTTTCCACTCAATTGGTCCTGAACAGAACTTTCTTTTTGACTATCCTCACTCTCTAGAGTAGATGAAGCAACAGAACCTTCGAGCTGATCAATCTCTGCTTTTTTGTCCATTAAATGTTTTTTGTCTGAAGAAGTCAAAGATTCAGAAAGCAAGGGGGAAAAAAAAGTCCAATTAGCCCATGTCCAGCAAGTCAGTTAATTAAACCACTCAAACAGTTAAAAAAAAAATGTTGATACAAACCACAGCGCAAGACTGAAAAATGGACTTTGGTCACCTTTTTCTCTCTCTTTATTTTTTTATTTACAAAAAAACATTCACAGTACATACACATACATAATAAATATATTCCGTAGAGCTTTTGCACTTATTAGTATATTTTCTTTTTACTTTTGATAGAAAAAGACATGCCTTGGTGCAATAGTGAGGTTACTCCATTGTGATCTAGTGGTCATGGGTTTAAAACGTGGAACAGATGTAAGGCGGCATACATCTGACCTTTCCCAAATCCCGCTTGGATACTCTATTATTTGCATGAGAGCTTGTTTTCTTTGTAGAGACCACCAAATTAAGCCTCTTGGTACCCTATCTGCTTTTAACAAGTCTATAAAAACCATATGTAAATCTTTTTGCTTACTACACTCTTCAACTAATTGTCTAAGAAAGTATATAACTTCCATTGTTGATCTTCCCGGCATGAATCCGAATTGCTTTTTGGATAACTTTCCTTAGTGTTTGTTCTATTATCATTTCCCATAGTTTCATTGTATGGTTCATTAATTTAGTTCCTATATAATCACCACAATTTTGTATATCCCCTTTATTTCTGTTTGTACTTTCCTCCACTCATTTGGCACCATACCTTCTTTAAGAATGTTGTTAAACAGCTTTGTAAGCCACTCAACTCCTAGCTTCCCTAACTTTCTCCAAGCTTCAATGGGTATATTATCCGGGCCTACCATTTTATTATTCCCCATCTTCTTAAGTGTATCCTCAACCTCTTTATTGGTGATTTTGTTTATCATTCCTATGTTAAATTCATTTACTTCAACTTCCTCTCTAGGGTGTTCCTCATTTTATAGCTTTTGAAAGTAATTTCTCCATCTAACTAATATCTCATTTTCTTTAACTAATACCTTATTATCCATGTCCTCTACACATCTAATTTGATTCATGTCTTTAGTTGATCTATCTCGCTTCTTTGCTAGTTTATAAATAACTTTTTCACCTCTTTTTCGTACCTAATTTTTCGTATAGATTACTACGTATATAATGAGTTTTGCTTAGCTTTGCTCACTATCTTCTTGGCTTCACATTTGAGTTCTTTATACGTGGCACTAATCCATTCTGTGAAAGAAAATTACTATTTCCTAGAAATCATATTAGCACCTTAATGAATAACTGGATAATAATTTAAAATCTTCTGGACATGCAGCTTTAATAACATTTTTTAGCTGATCCAGCTTAAATGACATTGAACCTAGTTAACGTGTACAGCTGTTATCTATTAGTTGTTAATGTATTAGCTGTTATCTATTAGCTGTTATCTATTAGTTGTTAATGTATTAGCTGTCAAATTAATTGTATAGTTGACTTACCTTGAATAGGTCTGTGTATTCTGTATAAATATCCTTGAGATATATGAAAGAAATACAACTTTTTCAGCCATTTATCAATTTGGTATCAGAGCAAAAAAAGAAAGGAATTTCCGCTGCTTTCTTTTCTATTTTAACCTTACTTCTAAAGACCTGCAACAGCAGTCAGCTATCTTCTTTGTGCTGCTGCTGCTTGTCTTCAATACCTCTTAGCCACGATCCATGGCAGCCAAAACAACTACTGATTCTTCCTCTCTAACCAAAAATTCATCTGACAGCAAGAAGTCCTCCACGATGACTATTCAAGAAACTTCTTCTTCCATTCCTATTAAATTGGATGGTGCTAATTATCGTGTTTGGTCTCAGATTTTGGAGATGCATATTGCTGGTAGACAGAAAAAAGGGTATATCACAGGGAGAAAGGTTGCACCTGCAGAGGATGATCCAAGCTATGATGCATGGGAGGCTGAAAATGCCCTAGTCAAGTCTTGGCTTATCAATTCCATGGCGATTAATTTGATGTCCCACTTTGTGCAGTGTGGAACAGCCAGGGAGGTTTGGGATGAGGTAAAGAGAAGCTATCTTGATGTCTCTGATTCTTCTCAGGTTTATGAACTGATGAAGAAGTCCTTTCAATTGCGTCAAGATGGTCGGCCTCTTGTAGAGTACTACAATGAGCTGAACTCAATCTTCAAGGAACTTGATTATCGAAGACCAAATGATATGACGTGTGCAACTGATATTAAGAAACAGAGGAAGCGTATTTCTAAGGATCGGGTCTATATGTTTCTTGCAGGTTTGGATCACAGTTTGGATCAAGTTAGTAGTCGTGTCCTAGCTACCTCTCCTTTACCAAGCCTGGAAGAAGCATATTCTCTAGTTCGTCGTGAAGCATAGAGACAGGTCACCATGGCAATAAAGGATCACTCAGAGGCCTCGGCTCTTGCTGTCCAAAAGAGTTCCCGACCAGCTCCTCTTTCTACCGACTCTATTTCTCGTCTCTGCACTCACTACAATAGTACGAGACATACGGTTGATGTTTGCTGGAAGAAACATGGTTATCCGAAGTGGTTCAAGCTTAAGCAAGCTGAGAAGAAGAACAAGAAATTTGCTCAGGTTGCTATCACCGACACTTCTCCATCTTCTGCTTCTCATGTATCTCGAGTGTCTTCTCAAGGAGGTAATTCTGGTTTGGCCTTTATTTCTACTGCTTCTAACACTTGGGTTATTGATTCAGGGGCCACTGATCATATGACTAGTAACTCTTCCATACTTAGACTCTCTAATACCTTCACCCGTTAAGTCTGTTCAGGTTGCTAACAGGACTCCTATGCCAATTACAGGGGCTGGGAATGTCTCACTTTCTCCTACATTCTCCATGTCTTCAGTTTTACTTGCACCTAATCTCCCTAACAGCCTTCTTTCCATTAGCAAAATTACCAAAAATCTTAATTGTTCTGTAACTTTTCATTCTACCCATTGTGTATTTCAGGACAATCTTACGAAGATGATGATTGGCATTGGTAAGGAAAGAGGAGGTCTTTACTACTTGGAGAAGGGGGTAAGGGAGTTAAAATCTGAACCTAGCCGTGGTTTTCAAGTAAAGAGAGAGTCTGACAGAGAAAAGATATTTTTATGGCATTGTCGTTTGGGACATCCACCTTTCTCTTATTTAGACCGTTTATTTCCTAAGTTATTTTGCAATATTTCTGCTTCTAGTTTAGGGTGTGAACAATGCATTTATGCTAAAAACCATCGTGTTCCTTTTAAAGTGAGTTTCAATAAAAGTCCTATTCCTTTTTCATGTGTTTACACAAATGTGTGGGGTCCTTTTTCTACTCCTTCTGCTTCGGGCCATAAATACTTTGCATCTTTTATTGATGACTGTACTAGAGTCTAGAGTGAGTTGGGTTTATTTGCTAAAATCTAAGAATGATGTTATACATGTTATTCCTCAGTTTTACGAAATGATTGTCACCCAATTTCATACTCAGGTTCAGGTTTTCCATTCTGACAACGGTGGTGAGTATGTGAATCAATCTCTTACTGATTTCTTCAAACAACATGGCATCCTCCCCCATACAACGTGCGCCTGCACGCCACAACAAAACGGGCATAGCAAAGCGTAAGAATCGTCATCTCTTAAAGGTGGCTCGTACCTTATGCTTTACTGTGAATGTTCCTAAGCATTTCTGGGCCGAGGCTGTCATGACTGCTGTTTTTCTTATCAGCCAAATGCCTCCTCGTATAATTAAATATCAAACTCCATTGAGAATGCTATCCCGATTTCACTCTATTCCTTCTACACTTAATCTTTGTCCTAAGGTTTTTGGTTGTGTGTGTAATGTTCATATACATTCTCTTCATAGGGATAAGCTTGACCCTCATGCTCTTAAGTGTGTCTTCCTTGGTTACTCTGGTTCACAAAAGGGCTATAAATGTTTTCATCCTCCTACAAGTAAATACCATGTATCCATGGATGTTCAGTTTTGTGAAAGAGAGTCTTATTTTTTTTGGGGATGTATCTCTGATTCCTCTTCAGGGGGAGATTAGTAGTAAAGAAGAGGAACGGTTATAGCTGGAAGAAAAGAGGTTGTGGATTTCAGGTAAGGAGGAGGATTCAGCTGTTATCAAAAAAGGAGAACCTTTAGATACTCTTGATCATGTGGAGACTGAGTTCAATGAAAAAATAGGTGAAAGACCAATCCACTTGTTCAAAGAAGTATATGTGAGAAGGAACAAGGATGCCACTGTCATGCCGCCTCCTTCTAACTCTAGTACCCCTCTTGATGATACTACCATGCCATCGGATGAATCTTCCAAGATTAACTCTGAGGTACATGTTTCTTCTCCTTTAACTTCAACTTCAGATATTAATTCTAACCCTGTAACTTCTGTGGAGACTGCTGCCTTGAATCCACAGGTTGGTGATCAGGGTAGGAGGTATCCTTTTCGTGATCGTAAAGAACCTGATAGGTTGGGTTTCTCCAAATTTTCTTCTAATGTTGTCTATCCTATCTCTGATTTTGTTTCCTATCACCGTCTGTCTAAGACTCACCTAGCTTTTGCCCTTCAATTGTCTTCTGTGTCTGTTCCTAGTCATTTTCAGGATGCCCTTGGAGATCCTAAGTGGAAGGCTGCTATGGTAGAGGAAATGAAGGCTCTCCAAAAGAACTCTACTTGGGAGTTGGTCGAGTTACCTCAGGAAAAGAAGACAGTGGGATGTAAGTGGGTGTTTACAGTGAAGTATAAGTCAAATGGGACAGTTGAGAGGTACAAGGCTAGACTAGTTGCGAAGGGATACACTCAGACTTATGGGATTGATTATCAAGAGACCTTCGCTCCTGTGGCCAAGATGAACACTGTTCGAGTTATACTCTCGCTCGCAGTTAATTTGGACTTGCCATTACAACAGTTTGATGTGAAAAATGCCTTCCTTCATGGTGATTTGATATAGGAGGTGTATATGGATCCTCCCCTGGGGTTTACACCTGAAGGAGATAAGGTATGCAAGCTAAAGAAGGCTTTATACGGGTTAAAACAATCACCAAGAACATGGTTTGGCAGGTTGAGCTACTCAATGAAGAAGTATGGTTTTAAGCAAGCTTTGGCAGATCACACTCTCTTTTATAAGAGGAATGGTGATGATATTACTTTGTTTATCGTTTATGTGGATGACATGATTGTTACAGGTAGCAACACCAATGAGATAGAGAAGCTTCGGAGCTATTTGGCCAAGGAATTTGAAATGAAGGACTTGGGGGTTCTAAAATTCTTTCTGGGCATTGAACTGTCTCGGTCCAAGCAGGGACTTTTTCTCTCTCAACGAAAGTATACATTAGATCTCTTGGCTGAAACTGGTAACTCTGCGTGTGTTCCTATAGACACTCCTATTGAAGTAAATCATGGCTTAGCTATCTATCCTGATCAGATTCCGACAAACAAGGAGAGATATCATAGACTAGTGGGGAAGTTGATCTATCTGACTCACACTAGGCCTGACTTGTCGTATGCAGTTAGTGTTGTAAGTCAATTCATGCACAATCTGAGTGACCGACACATGAATGCAGTGAATCGTATTTTGGCTTATCTAAAGTCCTCTCCAGGTAAAGGTATTATGTTCTCCAGGCATGGACACCTAGACATTATGGATTATACAGATTCTGATTTTACGGGAGCCAAGTTGGATAGGAAGTCTACTTCAGGGTATGTGTCATTTGTTGGAGGCTATTTGGTGACCTGGAGGAGTAAGAAACAGAATGTGGTATCGTTGTCTAGTGCAGAAGCTGAATACCGTGCTCTTCATCATGCAATTACAGAGCTTACATGGTTGAAGATTCTCTTAAGTGAGCTTGGGTTTGGTCCAAAGAAACCTATATTGATTTTTTGTGATAATACGGCAGCTATTGATATTGCCAATAATCCAGTGCAACACGATCAAACTAAGCATATTGAACTTGACCGAAACTACATCAAGGATAACCTGGATTCTGGTGTGATAGAGGTTCCTTACATTAAGAGTGCGAACCAGCTGGCTGATATGATGACTCATGGTGTTACTAGTGATTCGTTTCATACATCACTATCCAAGTTGGGCATGTGCAATATCTATACCAACTTGAGGGGGAGAGTTAACGTGTACAGTTGTTATCTATTAGCTGTTATCTATTAGCTGATGTTATCTATTAGCTGTTAATGTATTAGCTGTCAAATTAATTGTACAGTTGACTTACCTTGAATAGGTCTGTGTATTCTGTATAAATATCCTTGAGATATATGAAAGAAATACAACTTTTTCAGCCATTTATCAATTAACCTAAAACCACTTGTTCAGGCATAAAATATAAGATATTATAGCAGTAGAAATAAAAAAAGAAAAAGGAGAGAATTGTGTAAAGGCTTGAATGAGATGAATCACTCATTCACAACTCTAGTATTTATAAATAAAAAGAGCACATGCTCATTTTACAAGAAAGGAAACTAAATCAAATCTAAAGAATCACAGCATATTCTATAGCATAATCAAATCTTTGCTAATATGGTAAGTCATTCCATAAATCGTGATTATCATATATGCTAACACTCCCCCTCAAGTTGGTGTGTGGATATCTGAAACGCCCAACTTGGACAATGCATTCTCAAACACAATCTTGCAGAAGCCCTTTGTAAGAATCTACAAGTTGCACAGTGAAAATCTAACTAGCAATGATTTTCTCTCAAATAAAGTGCCAATCAACAAATCAAAAATGTCTCCTCAGACCATAAACAATTAACAATGTCTCCTCAAACCATTTCCCTTCATATGTTTAAAATATGTAGATGGAAGAATCAACAATGTCTCCTCAGACCAGTCCCCTTCATACATATGTTTAAACAATCTAGTTGAAAGAATCAATAATGTCTCGTCAGACCATAAAAAAGAAACAATTATGTCTCCTCAGACCATAAAAAAGAATAACTGTCTCCTCATTAAGGTCGGACCGCCCTGCCTACCTGACACCTCCCGGAAGGCCATTAGATCATTCCCGAATGGGTGGTGCCGAACTCACAATGGCATTGCAGTCGGACCACCCTAGCTTTGATACCAAGTAGAAATATAAAAAGAAGAAGGAGAGAATTGTATAAAGGCTTGAATGAGATGAATCACTCATTCACAACTCTAGTATTTATAGATAAAAAGAGCACATGCTCATATTACAAGAAAGGAAACTAAATTAAATCTAAATCGAATCACAGCATATTCTAGAGCATAATCACATCTTTGCTAATATGGTAAGTCATTCCATAAATCGTGGTTATCATATATGCTAACAATAGCCATTCTAGAGATGATCCAATTGAACTATTCGAGTAATGCAGAAACATAATAAAAACAAAATGTGAAGTAAGCCAGAAAATTTTCAAGTTTAAATATGTGTATACTGACCTGCAAGCATCATTGCAGCTTCTGTAGAATCTATGACCAAAAGTGAGCAAAGCTCCTTCACATCCCGTGGTTGGAGAATATCTGCTAAGGGAGACCTTCAGTCACAAGAGGTGATACTAGTTAGTTTCTGTAAGCGAAAAATAGACAGTTCTGTACACTATGAAAAATACCTGAAACTAAAACTTACAAAAATTGGTACCTGTATGTGAATTTGGAAGATCCCGCTGTTGCAACAGTAGTGCCAAATAGAGGGACAGATAAGAGGGAGGAACAGGTGGCAGAAGCTGTCAGGTGAATTTCCTGATTAAACAGAAAATATCAAAACGTGGTCGGTTTTCTGGGAGGATAAAAGGAAAGAAAGCAAAAGGAGAGTTGAAAGCTTTTCTTTTTCCCCTTTTTTTTTTTTTGGGGGTTGGTTTTGGGTTGGGGAGGGGGGGGGGGGGGGGGGGGGGGGAAGCCCTTGGGATTGCGCCTTTTAGCATGCTACAGGCTCAAAAAACACGCCTCTTGTTTTTAAATCATCCATTCATATAGTTTTTCTTGTTTAAAAGGACCCTTAATTTGCATACTCTACATCACATTATGGTAATACTCGAATGCTGTTTCATTAAATTGATATGCTGGGAACTTCGTTTCTATATTATTCACCAGTTTGTGTTTGCATATTTTACTTGTTTTCTTATACGTATATTTTATATTCATTTTTATCACATATGCACCTTACTCCGATCAGGCTAGCGCCATACATTGCTCCAGGGGACGTTGGCGCCTTAGTTCGCCTTATGCCTTTAATAACTATGGAGGTTATTAACAAAAAGATAGGAATCTTGGAAGCTTGTTTTGAGGTGGGAATAATGTTGCAAAAATAGATACTTTTATTTTCTCATTGAAATAAATGTGATATCATCCATAATTTAGTTGTAACACCAGTACTTCAAAAATTATAAATAAATGGATGACTAAAGCCAAAACTATGGAGTACAGATACTAAGGTCCTTCACCACCAAAGGTAGAAAAATTCAGAGAACTTGTGCCCATTCAAGCAGCAATAGCAAATAAAGGCATATATTTACCTTAGGATCGACCAACAAGTGTTCTACATTGAAGAAGACAAGATATTTTTTATACTCAAAATTCTTAAGAAAGTACCTGTTGAAATTGTGCAATCCTGTTAGCAAATTGATCATCGGATGTTGAACCAAAGATGGGCTGTTGTTTTTTGGTTGCTGGAGAGCTACCAAAACCAGAAGACCAGACGGCCCCGTCAAAGGCTGGATTGGCTGCTTGTTGGATGGATGGCATGATATTGCATTGCTCCCCATGAATGAGAACACTTCGCTCTTCACTTCCGTCAAAGTTCTTGCAGTCGATGCATTTACAAATTCCAGAGCACATAATATTGGCCTGGAAGCACTCACAATACTTCTTGAGACACCCACTTTTCTTGCAGTTACATCCTTTGTTGTGCTTCACCAACATTTTAACCTCACCTGCCTCTTCCTGGATTTATTTTGAGACAGTCAGAATGCAAGATAACATAAAAAAGATTGAACTTTGTGTTTAACCAAAAAGTCCAAAACAGAGAGAAGGAAATTATTTGATATCCTGTGCAATTCAACAAACATCAATTTGTTCAAGGAAATAATTCATCTGCTGCACCTTGAACTTGAATCTCATTTTACAATGACACAATTTAAAACTTGACAATTCAACTTAAAAAATAATACAAGGAACCATATTGCAGTGAGAGATGACTGAATAAACACATTCTTCCAGTAGATTGGAATTTTTAAGGGAAATATTTAGAAGTATGATTTATATAAATCCAAGGAAAAAAAAATGCTGGTGAACACTCATCTAGTGATAGATATATTTACGAAAACCAGAAGAGGCTTAGTGAAGAATCAAAGGGAGTAGGAGGGACATTTTATTCACAGAAGAGGCTCAGTGTTGCTACCCTTACCTCATGGCCTATTCTGCAATACCTTGGCACTAATATTTAATGTGAAGTTAGTACAGAAAACTGCATGCTTTGTTGCCATCTGATTTCGGCCCATTCTCACTTGTTTATTATCTCTTATTCATTAAAATTATTAATTTTTGGTTGCAAATTGGCTGCGTTGGCATTATGAACACCTTGACAGGATTATTTCTGATAACTACTTGGTTTTGATTATCATCCATGAAGAACATCTTCATAAACTTATCTATTTTCTTGACTTATTTGATGTGAAGGACTCTCTTCGGGCCATATTTACCTCTGCCCTGGTTATCTGTCTATCTCCAATCTTGACACCTACCTCATCTCATAGTCAAAATCATCCCCCC